GCCCCACGAGTGCGAGAGAGGCAGACGCTTCTCGGAAATGGGTGGCTGCCCCCGCCTCCAGGAAGCACTCCGTCCACTAGCAGTGCTCTAGCAGTGCACGCGGTCGTCGCAGAGTTTGGCCACGGACACGGGGCGGCGCGACGACAGGACCTCCGCCCAGTACTCGGCGTCGCCGTCGTCGGCGGCCTGGCTCACGGCCTCGGCCAGGCGCTGCACGCCGTCGGGGTCCTGGCCGGGGTCCTCCAGGATGCGGTACACGTCGCGCGCCGTGAAGGGCGTGCAGCGCGCCAGGCAGGACGACGCGTTGCGGTACGCCTGCCACGCCACGAAGGCCGCCACGCTCTCCTCCTGCACCACCACCACCGTGTCCTCGTCCTCGCCGTCGCCCTCCCCCTCCTGTGCGACGCAGAAGGTTGGAATTACTAAAGTGAATTTGCCGGTGAATGCTGAATTGCCCTCCAACACACACACACATGGACGACGCACAGTGGGCCAGAAGACCCGTGGGGGCGGTCAAAATCCCGGACGCGTGTTGAGCTCCAGAGTCGCAAATGGGATTGGAACCGAACTTGTGACCCCACCAATGGATTGCTCTCCGGACGAGGAATCCATTGGTGGGGTCACACGTTCGGTTCCAGTCCCATTTTGCGACTCTGGAGCTCAAAACGCGTCGGGAGTTTTGGCCGCCTCCACCGGTCTTCTGGCCCACTGTGCGCCGCCAGAGGGTGCACTCGTGCACTCAATGCAAAAGTACAACTCGACTGAATTTCGCGTGGACATGATAAAAGGTCAGTCGGCCACTGGACATCCGACGTCCTCAGTCCTTCCAGTGGCAGTTGGCCCAGGAAAGCCAGAAAGAGGTCAATATTCCGAGTTGGTCGACAACTCGACGTGCAATCAATGCCTATTCACCGGGCAGGGCACTTTGAGCGAGCACCAGGCCGCCGGTGGGAGCGGACGCCGGGAAAGGCCCAGTGCGGCGCAGTGCAGCGCAGTGCTCGCTCTGTCTCTCTCGCACTCAAGGGACGTCCCGCGCAGGTGCGACAGAGACAGAGCGACGGCCGCACAACAGCGCTCGTCCGTCCGTCCGTCCGTCAGAGTGGCGACATGCCCGCAGAGAGCAGACTGATTCCGAGAGTCGCTTTCGTCGCTCTGTCTCTCTCGCACCTGTAAGGGGACACCCCGTGAGTGCGAGAGAGACAGAGCGACAAGACGCCTCTTGGAACGAGTGCAGGCAGTGCAGGCGGCACCCGGCGGCACAGCCATTGAACTCGAGGCTTTCCGGAAATTTATCACCCAGCCCGCCTCCTTCTCGTTGTTCTGGGTGATTTCCACTTTTTACTTTACCCCGGCCTGCAACTGCACCTCCACGAATCGAAGGGTGGTGTGGTGAGCCTCACCCCTAGAGCCTCACCGTCCCACGCTCCAGGCCTCCAGGCTCTCAGGGCCCTCCACCAGGCCCGCCACTTTGACCCCAAAACTCGGAGATAAGAGGATCATTGGGAGGACCGTCACAACAAAAACACACTGCCACATCACGACGAATTGGATTTGCACATTGCACATGGAAGTTGCGCGCGCGGTTGGCACACTTACCCCCTCTTCTTCCTCTTCTTCCTCCTCTTCCTCCTCCTCGCCGCCCTCCGCTGCCTCCCGGCAGCACTTCTTGCACCGGTCCCTGGACCACAGGCAGCTGAGCCAGCATTGCTGCCCCTCGGACAGGGCCGGCAGGGCCGGCAGGGAGGCCACCCCGGTCCGCGGGGGCGCCGCGCCGCGCAGCACCGCGCCGCGCTTCGGTCCGCAGGGAGACTGCGAGCACAAACAAATTGGACGCACCGTCGCTCTGTCTCTCTCGCACCCAGGCGGAACGCCCCGCGAGTGCAGAGGCGTGCCCGGCGGGGGGGAAATCTCTTGCCGGTTTTGTTAAAAACCGAAAACCCTTACACGACAAAAAATAGGTTTCGTATTGGGTTTCACTGACTTTCTATGCAAGCAACAATATCGGATAACGCGAGCGAAGCGAGCTAAAAACCAAACGCCTCGCGGAGTCATCAATGTGACACTTTTCGCTTTTCAGGCTCCAGGGGAGGAAAGTAAAGTAGGCTCTGTGACACATTTAGTTTGCCAATTTGTGACGCAAATTTATAAAACATCTTTGGCGCCCCGGACGTCATTTCTGAAAATTTCGGGGATCCTTCCGGGGAAAAGGGGGGGGGGCTCGTGTGCACGCCCCTGCGTGAGTGCGAGAGAGACGGTGCGACTCGACCTGGCTGCCTGATGCTGCGTTACGGTTGTCACACAGCTGCCACCACCGCGTGCCGAGTGGAGTACACTGTATGCGTCCCCGCGCACTGGCAGGCATGCGTGCCGCGCCGCGCAAGCTCGCGCAAGCATTTCACAAATTATAAGCCAGCGCATTACAGTAAGAGTGCAGGGGGCGGCCGACGATAAGCGAGAATCGCGAAAGGAAGCGACGCCGCGACGCCGCGACGCCGCACCCGACACCACCGGCACGGCGGCACACTGGCAGACACTCTGTCTTTGCCGCACTCGCGGGCGCTCCGTAGAGGTGCGAGAGAGACGGCACACGACGGCACGGCGCACGACACCGCCGCTTTTGACGATGCACGCGGCGCGCCGACCAGGAGACTTATTCCGAGAGTCGCCCCGTCTCTCTCGCACCAGTACGCGACGCCCCACGAGTGCGAGAGAGACAGAGCGCCCAAAGCGACTCTCGGAATCAGTCTGCGGGCAACATCCTCGCCGTCGTGGTGCTTCCAGGCGGCGCGGCGCGCAGTGCTTCGGACGCCGCAACCGCGGCCTGGTCGTCGACGCCGTGCTCGTCGACGCCGTGGTCTGACGGCGTGCCCTCACCGGCAGGAGGATGGCGACCGCGGCGCACGTGAAGCAGAGCAGCAGCGCGGCCGCGCGGGTCGCCGCCATCCTCGGCGAGTGCCGGGCCGCGGCCGCGGCGTCGACTCTTGTACGGCGCCCCACAGTGGGCCAGAAGACAGGCGGAGGCGGCAACAATTCTAGACGCGTTTTGAGCTCCAGAGTCGCTAAAGGGGACTCGAACCGAACGTGTGACCCCACCAATGGGTTCCTCGTTCGACGAGCAATCCATTGGTGGGGTCACACGTTCGGTTCGAGTCCCATTTAGCGACCCTGGAGCTCAAAGTGCTTCTAGAAGTTTCGCCGCCTCCGCCGGTCTCCTGGCCCACTGTGCGCCCTTGGCCAGCCTTGGCCCTCGCACTGTGGGCGGCGCCGCGGCGCCAGAGTGCAGGAAACGGCGGCGGCAGGAACAGCCATGAAATCGCGACAGAGGCTGCCGCAGGTTAGTCAAGGCGGGTGGGTGGGACGTCCGGAATTCGCGCCAAAACAATTTGGTTACACACGACGCAGACCCCTACCACGCCAGCCACCTCCCTCCCGACAAAACGAAAAGGGATGTACTTTTACAAGGGCTCTAGTACACGCCGTCGCCCAACACGCTCCGGTTTGCCCCCTATCATTCCACAGAAACGCTGGTCCTCTGCTGGACCGGCGTGGCACGGCGTGGCGTGGCGTGGCGTCGTCACAAACAATAAAAAGAAGTAAAAGATCTCGGAACTAAATGGCTGCCAGTCGCCTTTAGGGGCAGGCAGGCAGACAGACAGACGGACGGACGGACGGACAGGCAGAACACAAACACACGCGCTCACACAAGACCACGCTAACACGCGTGACCTAGCGGGCCTCTAAAATCACGAAATGCTCCATTGCCGCGTCGCTGTCTCGGAACTGTAAAAATTCTGTGGCGAGCTTGAACAACGAGTCCCATGCATTTTTTCCAGTGTGGCGTCGGTTTGCTTTAGGGTCGTTGTTGGTGCCGTAGCGGCGTAGCGTGGCGAGGCCTCGCCTAGCCGGAAAGGCCACCCCGAGAAGGGCCCCGAGAGCCTCTCTAAACCCTCTACCCCTACCAGCGTACCAGCGCGGCGTCGCGGCCGCTGGTTGGCATGACGATATATCTGGATCCAAGGTTGCCCTCGCCGCCTTTCACAGGGGCACCACGCGCTGTGCCCTGGCTGTGCCCTGGCTGTGCCCGCGCCCCTTTCCAGCGATTCGTTAGCGATTCGTCGCTCTGTCTCTCTCGCACTTACTGGGGGCGTCCCTTTGGTGTGAGAGAAAGAGACAGAGCGGCCGCGAAGTGCACTCAACAAAGTTTGGAATGAGTCTGCTGTCGTGAACAGTGGACCACTGTGTGCTGGCTGCACGCTGCCTGCACCATCCTCCCCTCTCGCTGCGACGCATTTCGATTTGCCTGCTTTGATTGGATTCAAAAACTCATTTCGCTCAATATGGCTCCTCCAAAGCCGCGAAACACCCCTTCCGCCGGTCTTCCACCCCACTCGGAAGCAAATTACGTGGCTTCCCCGTGCACATCGTTCGCTTCACTTCGCTTCCCCCAACGCCGTCTCCTCTTCAATCCGGTGAAAATTGGGCTTGTTTTTGTCAAAACGAGCGCGACTCGACACGACGAGGTTCAGGTACGATTCAAAAAACACGAGAATCAGATGTCAATGCACCCTCACCCAATCAAAAGGCCCGGGGAGGGGCAGGGCAGGGGCGGCGTGCTCCACTTGTATCGGATCGCTCCCGGGCTGAAAGTGCAACTTGCAGTGGTAGGCGCGCCGCCCAGTGTCCCGCCACCCAGAAGACCATTTGCACCTTGAACGCGCAAAAAACTGCACTCGGCTGTAAAACAATTATCACCGCAGTGGAAATAAAAGTTCGGAATGAAGTGACAAGTTGCTGTGCAGATCCGCCCCGTCCCCCTCCGTCCCCCGCCACCCCGCAGTGTTTACAAAAGAACCACCCCTACCTCCACCACCGCCACCGCGCCCCTACCCGCGCTTCCTCCGCCGCCGAACGCCACGGCACGGCACGGCACGGCACGGCGGCACGGGGCGCGCAGCCCCCACCCCCCTCTCCCTCCCCCGCGCGCAGCCCAGCCAAGCTCAGGCCCGGACCGGGACGGGACCGCCGCGCCGCCGCCCGCCCGCCCAGTCCAGACCTGCCTGTCCGTGTGTACAGTGATCACCTCTCGCAGCGTCTCGCAGTGCCCCGCGGTCCAAACCGCCCCCCCGCGACGTGACCATGTGACAGTGATTCAAGTGTTTGCCATTTCTGTGGACGTGAGTGTTGACGCCGTGCGAGTGTCTGTGAAAGTGAAGTGTTTTCGTCTGGAGGCGCTGCGTTTCGGCGGCTTCGCTTGCGGCCGCATCGAAACTTCTAACGGAGTCGATTTTTTCCAGATTCGAATTTAAGTGCATCAACCGAACAAATGGAGGAGAGCCCCTCGGCAGCCCCGGGGACAGGCCGGTGGCATCAGCAGGTACGTTCACGCAGCCACCGCCACTTCCGCGCGGTTTTGCCTCTGCCAGTGTGTTGGTTCATCTTCGGCAGGGCGTCGCGCCGCGCTAGCCGCGCCGAGTCAGCCGAGCGATGCCGAGCAGTCGCTCTGTCGTGCTCTGCCTCTCTCGCACCTCTGCGCACCGCCCCATGAGTGCGACAGAGAGAAAGTGACTCTCCCTGTCGTCGTTAGGGTAGTCCGCGCCGTGGCCGCGACATTGTTGAACGGCCGTCCGTAACCCTCCCCCCCCCCTGCCCCTCACCCCGCTCCGCCCCGCCCACCCACCGGCACTCCACTACACTGACCACGACCACAGCCCCTGTCCAGCACCCCTCCCTGCCCAATCAAATTTCAATTTGCTTTTTGTTAATTTGTCCGTTTGATGTCGTGTTGCAGAGTGATGGGCAGAGCAAAGGGCGTCCGCCGGACCACCTGTCGACAAAGGACATAAAGACCACAGTGGACGAGAATGACAACCTCGCCAGCGATACCATTGGTGAGTTGAGCAAGGGCTTTAATTACGCTTCATGGTTTGCCGAACTCTCCCTCTGACTAGCTCACTTCATGCTAGTGCAGTCGCACAGTCAATATAACAGAGTGACTTCCTAAAGTTCAACATCGCAAGCTATTCTGTGCTCTGTTTCATGATCATCATGACTTTCTGGTTTTAGCGTATTATTTATTTTTCACTTTTCACTTGACTGTAAAGGCTGCTATTTAACCGTTCGCATCTCTAATGGCAATTTGATTTCCGCTCCACAAGTGAAACCTGGTATTGAAACATACCACGTCAATTTTTCAGGATGGCCTTTTTATTCATTTCTTGTCGTAGTTTTGATTTGTGTTGCTCTGTTTTGTGTTTCATATGTTTCTGTTCTGTTGGGGTTTGTTTGCAATTCATGTGTCGACAAGGTAGACTGGAAGGCAGTGGCCTGCCAAGAAATTTCAAAAGGGTTGTGGCTAGGGGTATCAGGCCATTTTTCTTTTTTCGGCCCTCTGGCGGAATGTATAATTATTTAGCTACCTTTCAGGCGCTTCTGGAGGGGCTTGTAGGTGTGCAGGGCGATTGAAATGAAAGTCAAGTAAAATGTCGCCTTGCAGATAACCACGACGGCAGCGTGGCGCCGCCCCGGGAGTTCGATGAGGACATGGGCTTGGAGTCGCTGACGGAGGCCCTCAAGAGGGAGCAGGAGCGCATCGCCCGCTGGGACGCGGCCGACCTGGTGGTGATATCGGACCTCAAGGACGGCGACCATGACGGCCACCCCGTGGTCCCGGAGGCCGGCGACGTCCGCGAGGCCGCGCCTTGCGGCAGCACGGACAGCGGCGCCACGGTGGGGCAGTTGTCGGAGTCCTTCGTGCGCCGCTCCATCTCCATGTCCATCTCGCCGCCCAGCCGCGGCAGCAGCGCGGCGCGGTCGCCGCGGACCCGACGGCGGAGCCACAGCGACAGCGATGTCGGCCCCAGCCGCCGGCCCTCGCGGTCCAGGAGTCGCAGCCCCAGCAAGAACAGCTCCAGCAGCCGCTGCCGGCAGCGCTCTAGAAGCAGAAGCTCGGACCGATCCAGGAGCCGCAGCCGCCGGCGCTCGTCTAGCCGAAGCAGGAGGCGGTCTAGGAGCCGCAGCCGCTGGCGGTCCAGCAGCCGCGGCAGGAGACGCAGCCGCAGTCGTCGGCGCTCCACGAGCCGCTCGCGGAGCCGCAGCAGGAAGAGCGTCAGGAGCCGCAGCAAGAGCAGCAAGCGCAGCAGGCGCGCGCGGAAGCGGTCAGGCCGCGAGAAGCGTAGCCGGCGACACCGTTCGCGGCGCAGCAGCACCAGCCGAAGCTCGAGCAGGGACCGCAGCCCGGACCGCAGCCCGGACCGCATCGTGACCCGCTGCATCGTGGACCAGGGCCGGCGCAGTCCCGCCACGAGGCGCGGGCGAGGCCGAGGCCGCGGCGGCCGCATCAACATCAACCTTAGAGTAAGAATCTGGTAGAGACAGCGAGCCTATCCTCCTGTGCTTTCGGGGTGTAGACTTTATTGCCCCCTCCGGCGGCATCCGAGAAGCGCTCGACCCGGAGACGGCCAAAGGGGATGAAGCGGGGAGGCCCGCGCCGCGGCCCGCGGGGCACTCGTACCTCCGTGCCTCGGGAGCAAGGACTCCAACCGGCCGCTGGCCTGCCGCTGGGGAGCCGAGCACCCGACACTCCCCGCCTCACCCCCTTTGGCCGTCTCCGGATCGAGCACTTTTCTGATGCCGCTGAGGGGGGCAATAAAGACCTGGGTTTTTACAACCACTGAGCCTCTACCGATCCTTTCTCTAGGACATCAACCTGCGGAAGGGCTTCCTCAGCCCCGACGGCCAGGGTCCAGCCGGGCACCAGGACGCCGACGACGGCGTGGCCGACAGTATGCGGGTGGTCCTCCGCAGGGTGCAGGAGATCAACGACAAGCTGGCGGACAGCGAACCGCCCCCTCCGGAGCCCGCGCCCGAAGCCCCGCCCGTGCTGACGCCCATCATCATCAAGTTGGAAAGGATCCAGACGCCGGCCAGGACGCCAACCGCCACGCCGAGGACCCCGTCCACGGCGGAGACGGTCTTGTTGAAGCGGGAGCGCAGCCGCACCCCGGCCGCCAAGCACAAGAAGCAGAGCCCCGCGTACCGCATCAAGGTAGAGCCGAACCGAACGCCCGTCAAGAGGGAGTCAGCTAGTCAGCACGGCGGCGACTCGACCAAGGCGGCTTCGGCAAGTCACCGGGACGCCAAGCAGGTGAAGAAGGATCCTACGAGTGCTGCGAAGAGCTACGTCAAGAAGGAAGTCTCGGTTCCTGGGATAGAGCTCGTCAAGAAAGAATTGTTGGTTGGAGGAATCGACGCAGTCAAGAAGGACGCCTCGGTTGTCGGAAGTGGGGATCTCAAGAGCGCGATGCAGAGCCGCTGGGATGCAAAGTTCGCGTATGCAAGACCAGCCACTCCTATGGCCGCGGCCGTCTCCAAGGAGACTGCCACCTGCAAGGAGACTGCTGTGTCGAAGGAAACCACCGCCCCGACGGAAACTGCCATCCTCAAGGAGACGGCCATCTCCAAGGAGACTGTCGTTTTGAAGGAGACTGCTGTCTTGAAGGAGACTAGCTCGAAGGACGCCGTCGCGACGGTCGCCGGTGCCGAGGGCGACGCTGCGAAGGTCGCCACGACGAAGAAGGACGGCTCGGCCGCTTCTAACGGGAAGCGGGATAGAGCTAGCCGGAGCCCCAGCAGGGGCAGCGACGGCGGCCCGGCCAAGAAGACGGCGCTCTCGGAGGAGCGGGCGTCCAACTCGCCCTTCTCCAGCCCGACTCGGCCGGACAGCCGCAGCTCGACGCGCACGGACAGCCGCAGCTCGACGCGCAGCATCGGCTTCAGGATGCAGAGCGACACCAGCGACCCCGAGGAAGGCTACAGCTTGCTGGACCGCCTGACGGGCCTGGCGGGGCGGTCGCGTGGCGCGAGGCGGGGTCGTGGGGGCGGCCTTGGGGGTGGCGGAGGCGGCCTTGGCAGTGGCGGAGGCGGCCTTGGAAGTGGCGGAGGCGGCCTTGGAGGTGGCGGAGGCGGCCTTGGCAGTGGCGGAGGCGGCCTTGGGACTCGCGGCGGAGGCCATCGGAGCCGAGGTGGAGGCCTTGGAAGCTACGGCGGCGGTCTTGGGAGTCGCGACAGCCGCTCCCGGCATTATGGCAGTGGTCCGCGCGGCCACCCCTTGATGTGCAATCTATGCCAGAATCACGGACTTGAGGTCAAGTTCTCGCCGATGCACAAGCGGGTGTGCCCCTACTTCTCGTGCTGCTGCGACCTGTGCATCGCCACCATCCTGCGCCAGACCCGCGACTCCAAGAGCGTGGACAGGTTCCTGGAGAAGCAGGACGTCTTGCAAGAGGAGCTGCGCCGCGGGATGAAGCTGGGCCGCCAGCGGTCGCCGCCGCCGCGCACCGTGTCCTGCGTCTACTGCCGCAACCACGGCTACCATAAGGGCTTCACGTTCGTCCACAAGACGAGCTGCGCGCTCAAGCGCTCCTGCACCTGCGAGGACTGCTTGAGGGCGACGGTGCGGCTGCGCGCCAAGACTTCGGCTCGCATGAGGCGCGTGTGTCCGCACTGCGAGCGTCACAACCTCCGCGTGGCCTACGCCTACCACAAATGCCCCTTCGCGGACTGCGCCTGCGTGCTGTGCTACCGCCCTCCCAGGGCGCCTCGCCTCGCCGCGCCCGGCACCCTCGTGGCCTCGTACGGCAGCGACCAGGACGCTGACGAGGAAGGGGACAAGCAGCCGGACAAGGCGGTGAGTACCTGCATGTTGTTGTTGCTGTTTGTCACTTTGCCAGCACTGCACTGCGTGATGCTGTACATGCCTAACTCTTTCCTCTCCTCCACCAGGACCTTTTGAAGCAAGCCCGCCAGGACAGCGACAGGAAGGACGACCGCGCGTCGCCAGCGAGCGTCCCGGACGATATCGGCTTCTTCAGGAAGGTTGCCCTTCCTCGCCAGGAGGCGGCCCGACGCCAGTCAGCGGCCGCGGCGGCAAAACGTGACGCTCTCCGCGCCGGCCCCTGCGACCTGCCTCCTGTCCCCGGTGTAGACGACGCCCCGGAGACCGCGGGCAGCAAGGCTCCAGGTATTTACTGCCCGTGCTAATCTTTTTAAATGTCGGCCGATTCCCAAGCTAATCGTCCTTTTGATCCCAGGCCGGCGATCACTGCCCACACCGCCACCGCCTGCTGCAAGCACCGCGACGTCTCCAAAACCCGTGCCGCCGCCTGTGGCGCCTAGCAGCGTCCCTTGTCCACCGCCTGGCTCGCCACCGAGACCTGTGCCGCCGCCAAGCTTGCCACCAGGCCCACCGCCTTGCGCACCGCCCCCGGCCACCGCGCGGCCGCCGTCGGCCACGGAGGAGAGCGTGGACGCCATCTCGGCCTTCTTGCTCAACAGCAGCGCGGCGCCGGAGGCCGCCGTCGACGGCCGCGTCACCCCCATCGAGGACATCGACCTGGAGGCCCTGCTCGACGACCTCGAGGAGGAGGACTTCGGGTCTGCAGATGAGAGCACAGAGGCCACAGCCGCGCCCCCCGAGAAGGCCGTCGCGGACGTGGCGAAGCCCCCTAAGAAGACCGCCTTGGCTTCTCCGAAACGCCTCGCGCCCACGCGTCGGACTTCTCCTCGACGGCCACCCGTCGACGGCGACGTCCGGCGGCCAGGCAGGCCTTCCCTGTCGTCCCCCAGGACTCCGCAGCGGGCGTCGCGTTCGCCGAGGGGCAGTCCACGGCGGGGCAGTCCTCGGCGGGGCCCCACATCGCGGCCAAGGTGCTCTGCGACGTCACCCCGCACGCCCCGCACGCCGCCCTCCGCGCGCCTCATGCCCGTCGCGGTGCCCATCTCGCCCGCGTCCTCCGGGCGGCGCCGTAGGGGTGCGCAGCGCAGCCCGCGGCAGTGCCAGCTCTGCCGGAACCACGGCCTGGAGTCGGCCTGGGGCAACGGCCACGCCCGGGAGTGTCCGTACCGCACGTGCGACTGCGAGGGCTGCCGCGCCACCCTCGACAAGAGGAGGGAGAACGCCGCTTACAGGAGAAACGGGGAGCGCCCCGCCAGGTGAGTCTTCGATTCGTTCGTAATTGTGTCTGTCTGGCGCGATTTTCCGCCGCCTTCATTTTATTGTGACTCTCTGCTTGTTCCTGCCTGCGTCTCTCAATCCCGGATCCCCGACTCGTCTGCCACCGCGCCCCGCCTGATTACCCCCCCCCCTTTCTCTTTCTTTCTGCCCTCCTCCCCTCCTCTCCCTCCCCTTCCCTCCTCCCCTTCCCTCCTCCCCTTCCCTCCTCTCCTCTCCTTCCCCCTTTCACCAATCCCCTTCGCTGGTCTTTCCACTGGAGCTCGGCTCGGCATCATAACGTCCATTGCGCTTTACCCCTGGAATCTAATTTTAAATCCATCCACCCCACCTAACAGACAATGTTCAATTAGCTGTCTTTCCTTTTTTTCTCCCTCCGCTATGCGAGCCTCTCCCTCCCCACGACGGAGCTATAACCGGTGGGCAATATGATGATATCTTTGTCTTCGCAGAGCCCAGCGGGGGCTGAAACCGTGCGTCCGCTGCCGCCACCACGGGTTGTTCAACCCCGTGGACGAGATCGGCGTTCGCCACCTGTGCAAGTTCAGCCAGTGTCGGTGCGGCTGCGACCCCGCCATGTGAGTACACTGTTTGAGGTTTCACTTGTGGTTCCTCGGAGCCGCAAGCACTGCACCGACTTTTATATATATTTGTTTATCTTTTCGTTCCTTTTAGGAGAAGTGAAGACGAGAAATGTGATCTAAAACCAAAGCGTGAAGTTGACCAAAAGAGTGAAATTGACCAAAAGTGTGATATTGACCAAAAGTGTGAAATTGATCCAAAGAAAGAAGTTGACCGTGATATCGACCAAAAGTTTGACATTGACCTAAAATATAAAATTGACCAAAAGTTTGAAATAGATCCCGAGTGTGAAGTTGACCAAAATTCTAACAGATTAGGTGAGTTAACACAGCGTCGGTATATTGTTTCCTTAGCTAACCCAATTTGGCCAGAGGAACGAAAGAGAAAGGTAGTGAATTGACTAATGTGGTGAAGTCAGGTGTGGTTTTCAGAGTGACCAAAACCCACTCGAGGTCGTTACTTCTCGCAGTTGTTCGTAAAGAGGCTCCACTGACTGTTTTTTCGTTTCACAGATACGACTGCAGTGACGACCGACAAAGTGTCCAGCGGCGCGCTGGCCGAGGAGAAGCAGGACCTTGTCGTGTTCGTGCACGCCGAGGTGCCCGAGACCGCGGCGGGCGCGGAGGCTGACTCTGGCGAGGAGGACGACGCCGAAGATCCGTTCTCTCTGGTGATCGACCTGGACTCTGCGCCGGCCACGCCGGCTGCGGCCACCACTGACGACGACAAGGTCGAGGCCAAGGTGGCCAAGAAGAGGCCTTCTGTGGACGTGAACTGCCGGCCGTATGTGGACGGGATGGAGGGGCCTTCCCTGGAGGCGAGGGGGAGGGAGGGCGCCCTCCTGGAGCCGTCCCCTCTCTTCCAGGTCAGGTACTGCGCGTTCTGCCGAAATCACGACAAAGAAGTGAAGCTGCGCGGCCACAAGGGCCACTGCCCCTACCGCTACCTGTGCGACTGCGCGGCCTGCCGCAAGAGGAACTTGATGCTGCCCAGCGCGCGCTTTGCCGGCGTCACGGCCTCCCCCAGGAGAGGCGCCGCCGCGCGCGCCGCCCGCTCCCCCTCCCCCGTGGGGGTGGTGCCCGCCGTGCCCGCCGTGCCCGCCGTGACCGGCCCCAGGAAGCGGGGCCGTCCGCGTGGCAGCGGGAAGCGCGGCCTCGGTCGCGGGCGCGGAGGGGCCAGCGTCCAGCCCAGTAGGGCAGTCCCAGACACAGGCGCCAGCCAAGAAACCGACAGTGAGGTAGGCAGTACTTTTGTTATTTACTTTGCGGTACTACCTGTGGTAGAGAATTGCCAAATTTTCCCCGTTCTGCTTCTAGGATGACGTTCCCCTCAACGCACGCCTGCCGTCCAAGCCGCCCGTCTGCAGGGTGGTCCCGGCTCCCGCTGATGCAGACAATCTGCAGCCCCAGGCTGCTGACGATAAAATGACGATAGAGACAGAACCCAGTACAGGAATCTTAGGAGAGCCCTCACGCATGACTTTGTCGGGCGAAACAGTGACGCAGGTAATTGAAAGTTATTGGTTTCAGTTTGCAGGCCTAGGCTTACGTATCTCAAGTCATTGTTGTTGCCATAATTTTATATTTTGCTTTGTTGTTTGAGGTTTCTGTCCTGGTTGCTTTTCTAAATTTTCTTCAATTTCAGGCAACAGTGACTAATGTGACTCCGCTTCCTATGGCGCCCGCAACGGCGCCAGTGGAGGTGTTCGTAATGGAGCCGGCCAAATTAAATACACCGGAATCGGACTGGGTGTCAATGACCACAGAAACAGACCCTCTATCGGACGAGCCAGACCCAATAGTATCTGAAGCAGAGGCAGCCCCCAGCCAGAAAAAGGTAATCTCATACTCTATCGTCATGGCTTATTGGCATTACTAAAATGTGGCTAAAATTCGGGCGCAGCAAATGTAATCCCGCCTAGAGATTTTTTTTAAATTTATAGTAATGTCTCAAATTACGAATGAGGCCCTGTCCAAACACCTCGGGACGGAAAGGGACCTTTCTTCAATCAACACTTTTAACTGATATTTTTGCAGGTCGAGAAACCCATGATTGAGGTACCGCCGATGGCCATGGAGTCAATCGAACCACCAAAGAAAATATTTGCGCTTGAAGTGCCGTCGGAGGGACGTGCTCCAGAGGACTTGTCTCGTCGGGGGCTGCCCGGGGACGTGCTTCGCGAGGACACGGCGAGAGTGGCGCCAGTCCCCAGTGAGAAACTTGAAGGCCGGGGAGTGCAAGTGGTCCAAGTGGACCCGAACCGGCAGCCGACGCCGTCCCTGCCCGCGGCGTCGTCCGCGGAGGCGTCCGTGCCGACGATGGCCTTGCCGTCGTTCTCCACGCTCAAGACGACGCCATGCCTTCCTCTCACGACGTCGTCGCCGCCTTCTGCAGCGTTCGCCCATTCCAGGATGTCGTCGTCCCCCTTAGCGCCGAGCTCGTCGCCGACGCCACCCTTGCAATCCATCGCTTTGCTGGTGGCGTCTATACCCAGGCCGGCATCCACCCCGTCCGTGGTGGTGAATCTATCCAAGCCGTCGTCCACCTCAACCAGACCGTCTTCAACCCCATCCCTGGCGGTGCCTCTATCCAGGGCGTCTTCAACACCTTCTGTAGTGGTGAATCTATCTAAGCCGTTGTCCACACCGTCTCTGGCGGTGCCTCTATGCAGACCGCCTTCAATCCCTTCTGTGGCGGTGCCTCTGGTCAGGCCGTCTACGATCCCCTCTGTGGTGGTGACTCTTGCCAGGCCGGCTTCAACTCCATCTCTGGCGGTGCCTCTATCCAAGCCGTCTTCAGCCCCTTCTGTGGCCAGGCCGGCGTCCACCCCGGCGGTGGTCTTGCCCAGGTCGTCGCCTGCCTCATCGGCGCCGTCCTTGCCCGTGGCGCGCACCGGCAAGATGAGGGCGTCGTGCATCCACCTGGCGCCCACCTCCTTGACGTCAGCGTCCGTCGCGCCGATGGTGGCGTACTCGGCCGTGGCCAGTGCGGCCACCCCACCCATGGCGAAGTCCTCGGCCCTCCCCTTGGTGCCCACCTCGTCGACGGCGTCCTTGGCCGCGGCGGTGGCACCCCTGCACTGCAAGTCTGTGGTGTCGACAGACATGCCCTTATCGCTCACGTCGGCCGCGGCGTCGTCCCTGCCCCGGCCGTCCCCCGACGTGCCTGCACCGTCAGCGCCCGCATCGTCAGCGAGCGGCAGCTCCAAGCCGCTGTCTCCGTCGTCGCCCCTCGACTTGAGCTCCTCCAGTGAGCCTGCTCAGTCGGTGCCCCGCAGTCGCAGTCCGGAAGAGGACGCCGTCAAGGACCTGAGTGTGCGAGCCTCGGCGCCTACCGCGACAGCCGCGACAGCGGTGCTGAGCTCCGCGACGCAGCCCGAGCCCGAGCTGCCCCAACTGCTGGACCTGGAGGACGAACTCGGGCCGGTGTCCGCGCGGCCCACCGCACCCGCCGCGCCCGCCGCGCCTTCCGTCATCGTCCACGTCAAGAAGAACCTGTCCGAGGCCATCACCCCCCTGACCAAGGTGGCGCAGGTGGCCCCCAGGCAGCCCATGGGTCCGCCGGCGCCCTGGCGGCCGCGGTGGCACGCGCCGCAGACGCAGCCCTCGCGGCCCTCGCCGTCAGCCAGCCCCAGCCCCGCCGCGCCCTGGGAGCCCAGCATCGGCGTGCACGAGGGCACGTGGGGCGAGACGCTGCATGCGTGCGATGACTGCGGGCTGGCCCTGGACACGGAGCAAGACAAGCTGCGCCACCGCCTGCAGCACCACGCCACGGGCAACAAGCGCCCCTGTGGCCAGTGCAGGTGAGTCGGGCTTTCGCTTGGCTGGGCTTGCCATCAGGTTCACCATCAGAGGCGTTCGGAATAGGAAATTGACGATAGCTGAAAAGTCTGACGTATTAAATTAGTTGAGCCCAGCTGAGCGTTCTTCACATTTCACAAGTCTGACGTATTAAATTGTGAAGAAAGAAAGAAGTAGATGAGCCCAGCTGAGTGTTCTTTGTAGTTGGGAAGCAAGCCTGGATATAGCCAAAACATTTGTTTGTAACCTGCTTGTTTTCTTTCCGCAGTACTGTGTCGTGGTCCCAAACCCAGAATGAGTTGCACACCGCCCTTGCACACCCCTCCCCAGTCCTGGAGGAGTTCCGCTGCCCTGACTGTGCTGCCTGCTTCCCCTCTGACGTCATGCTCACTCTGCACCTGTCCTCGGTTCGCGACAAACTCCACGCCCCAAGACATGATACCTGCCTTGCCTGCCCTATTTGCAAGTAAGAAGTTTATAATTACTACATGAAATTTCATGTCATTCAATCGCCTGAAAGTGACGTAACTCTCTGTCGTTAACTGTTTGCACAACTTTTCAATGTGGATAGTCGTTCTAGTTCTTGTCATTTTCAAAATTTAAACACCCTTTTGTTAGCCTTCTTGTATATACTTCTGCTATTTTGTAGTTTTATGGATGATAATTTCTGCTGTACTGTGAAGCTTTTCCCTTCCGCCCTGTGGCTCAACAGAAATGTCTTGTTGTCTCTTGCAGCAACAAGGTAGGTTCCCCAGCCAGCATGACCAAGCACATAAAAGCGGCGCACGCCGACGCGACGCCCTTCCAGTGTGACGACCGGGGCTGCGGCATGTCGTACGCCAGCCCCCTGGAGCTGCAGAGGCACCGCAGAATGCACGTGAGGGAGAACTCGCAGCAGCGCTGCCTGGCCTGCTCCCTGCCCTTCGTCACCAAGGAGCTGCTGGACATCCACTGGAACCAGGCGCACCCCGCCCCGCACCACTTCGTCTGCCCCCTGTGCAACAAGGGCTTCAGCACGTACCTTAGCATCGCGGGTCACGTCAAGAGGTAGGCCCCAGCCAAAACAAAAGAATTAATGTTTTAAAATAATAAAGCCAATTTTGAATGCCGTGTTGGTGCCTCGCTTGGCCGAGTCCTGACCCAAGTGTTTTGTTTGCCTGCAGGGGACACCCAGGGACCAAGCCCTACATGTGCCGCGAGCCAAACTGCGGCCGCACCTTCGCGAGCCCCAGCGAGCTGCACGAGCACACCAGCGAGAGTCGCCACATGTCCTTGCCCTTGCCCGTCATTAAGAGGCACCGGGCTGCTCCGGCGAGCCTGCAGCAGGGCCAGCAGCAGGGCCAGCAGCAGGGCCAGCAGCAGGGCCAGCACCCCGCCAGCACCGCCAGCGGCTGCTCCTGTTCGGCCTGTCCCCGCACCTTCCCAGACAGCTGGAGCCTCATGGACCACCAGGACTCGGCGCACATGGGGCTGGTGCCCATTACCCAGGTGGCGCACTTGCTGTCTTTGGCCAGGGACGCCGCTCTGCTCAAGGCCGCCGCCACTCCGGCCGAGCCGCCCCGCCAGGGCCAGATTCAGGTCCAGGGCCAGGTTCAGGGCCAAATCCAGAGTCAAGTCCAAAGCCAGATGCAGGGCCAAGTCCAGGGTCAGCGAAGCCAGGCAGTGCCGCCATACCACCCCGCTGGCACCTCTCTGCCCCCCGGCTCCTTCACCGCTTCCTTTGTGCCCAGTGCCTCCTCTCCCTTCGCTCCCTTGAGCACCTACCCTGCTCCGCCTGCCCCCCACGTGCCAACTTCCTCCCCATTTATTGCTCCCACTTCAAGTTCTTTCCACCAATCTTTCATCCCGGCCACAAACTCCTCCTGCCCTTCTTCATCATCTACTTTTTCCTCGACTCAATCACTACCCCATGCCTCTTCGTCCTATCCCATATTCATCTACGTATCCCTCTGTTGCGCCACCTCATCAGCCCCCTGCCCATACGCAGCGTGCTCAGCTGCCTTCCTGTATATCAGTATATTATAATCCCCTTGATTATGCCTGAAGCACTTGATTACTTTACAACTACAGTTGTATGATAGATTTATTGTTTGCATTTTAATGCATTTGATTTTGATAGATCTCTTTTTTTTTTACCTCAGTCGAAAGGAATGTCACGTGACATTCAATGTGTGAATAACTAATGTATTTATGATATTTAAATGACATCCCTCTACTTAAAAGCTGTGTCTCCCATTGAAGGGTATTTAATTTTTCAGTGATTTTTTTCTTCTTGTTCTTATGAGAATTGTACAAGAAATATGCACTGTTTTTTTGCAAGTTAACACCAGCATGTACAAACTTATTATCTTAGGCATGTATTATAAATATTATTTGTCTGGCCAAAGCACTTTTCTTGTCTTAATTCAATGTTAACTCAAGATCAAAGTCTTAATTTCGTCTTTATCTGTATTTCACTCTGTTTGTACCTGTTAGATTGTATGTTATTGTATTGAACAATAAAGGACATTTTGCGTACAGTCTTTGTTTCATTCCGAAGAACACATTTTCCTTAGTGAGCTTTGCGGATGTTGGACTTGCCATGCTTCACTAAAGTTACATACAACACAGAAAACCATGGTACTTTAAATAACGTCTTCTTACATGTGCAGTTAATGCAGAAAACTGTAGCTCTTATTTTTACACATCCTTCCCATCCGTTATTTTTCGACAATTTTTGCTTTAAAATCTTGAACTAGTAACCTGTGAATTTTTAAATTTTGAATTACCAATGAACCATGAATGAACACACGCTTTAAATATCATCTGTTTTGAACACTTAGACTGTAATGGGAAGGAAGAGGGGGAGAGGAGTGGTACAGTACAGTCGCGGTGGGGTGGGGTGAGTGGGGTTAGAATGACTTTGGAATGAAACGTGCGGTCACATTTCGGCTCCCTTCGATTACTTAGCTTAGATCGATTTTGTTTCCTTCATTTTATGTTAGATCAAAACCAAAAGATCTCCGAAAGAGATTTTTTTGTCGTGTATCGGAAACGGTCAAAGTTTCGCGAAGGAAGCGCACGGTCAAGAACGAACCCCCGCTCGTTTCAAACGTCAACGGCTGCCTGCACTAAAACGGAACCGATTCGCTTGCGTTTTCCTTTGACAATAATCCGTACCTTGATTGTAAGATGATTAGGACATGGGATCTTTAGGAAACATCAGGAGAGAAAAATTTTCGTTGCACAAGTTGTTGAAATTATTCTGTGAAATCAGTCCGAGCAGTATGGCAGCAGACGATCAGGAAGTGCCTTTGGCCGAACAGCTGAAAGGTGAGAGTACAGTGGTTGAACAAGCACAGTTCCCTTTTATTTATTCGAAGCTAATTTTGCCCAAGACGGAGACCTTCGCTGTCACATGTTTGAACTCTCCTGTGGTGACCGAGCAACGATATCGCATAGTTAAAGTTTTGAAAACGTACTGAAAGCTGGGCGTTATTCTAAGCTCACAGGTTAAGTAACTTGCGTTCATTTCACTCCCGCTCCCTGTGTGTCATGATTCTCTTGAGTGCAGATAAAAATGGCTTCATTATGTTATACTGGGCTCCAAATTCTAATGTTTTTTGTGCACGTGTTCGACGCCTGATTACCATTCCAGTCGCTGTAGAGTGGTAAGTTTGTTTGAAATATCTAGTTTGCCGTCGAGTTGAGTCCGAGTCGCGGAGCTTCAGAACAAGTGTGACTTCATTTTCAGCTTGGACAAGATCACGGAATCGCTGGAAACGGAGGGCGTGACCATGAGTTCGGTCGAATTTCTGGCTTCTTTTTCGACCAGCTTGGGACTTGTTGAGAGCTGTGCACAGAATCCGTTTTGGAACAGAGAAGAAATCAAGGTATGGATGGATGGATGAATGAATGAATGATGCGTGATGAATGAGGGTTGCTGCAGGACTTGGACTTGCAGGTGCTCGAGGCCGTCTACGACTCCATCGGGCGCAACCGCACCATGGCGCAACTGCTGATGGCCGACGCGGCCAGGACACCGTTGGGCTCGCCGTCGTGCTCGCCGGAGTTGTCGACGTCCTTCGACGCGTCGGGGGCGTCGGTCGCCTCGCAGGGGGACTCGCAGTCTCAGGGCGAGGCCGTCCGCGACCACATCTCCGCGCTGCGCCGTCACGTGACCCCGGACATGCGGCTGGCCAGCGTGGCGGGCATGGCGCAGGCCAAGCAGCTCCTCACCGAGGCCGTCATCATGCCCATCCGCTACCGGCACCTCTTCACAGGTGAGGCGGCCGGAACTCTAGACGCGTTTTGAGCTGCAGAGTCGCGACGGGATTCGAACCAAACGTGCGACCCCACCAATGGATTTCTCGTTCGGAGAGCAATCCATTGGTGGGGTCACACGCTCGGTTCGAGGCCTGTTTAGCGACTTTGGAGCTCAAAACGCGTCTAGAGTTTTGGCCGCCTCCACCGGTGTCCTGGCCCACTGTGCGCTGGCAGTGCTTGTAGTGTTGCCGATGGTTGCAGGCGCGCGCAAGCCGTGGCACAGCGTGTTGCTGTACGGCCCGCCGGGCACGGGGAAGACCAAGCTGGCCCTGGCGCTGGCGGCCGAGGTGGACTCCGAGCTGTACGCCATCACGCCGGCCGACCTCCTGTCCAGCTGGTTCGGCCGCACAGAGCAGTACGTAGCTGTCGTGGTTTCCACTAGGCGGCCAAATCTCAAGACGCGTTTTGAGCTCCAGCGTCGCTCAACAGGACTCGAATCGAGCGTGTGACCCCTCCAATGGATTCCTCGTTCGGAGAGCAATCCATTGGTGGGGTCTCACGCTCGGTTCGAATCCCATTCAGCGACTCTGGAGCCCAAAACGCGGCTAGAGTTTTGGCCACCTCCAAGGGTCTTCTGGCCCACTGGGCAGTGTGCCTGTTTTTACTGGTGTGCCCGCAGGAACATCCGCGACCTGTTCGGCCAGCTTCGGGCGCGCGGCGCCACGCGGCGCGTCATCGTCTTCCTGGACGAGGTGGACGGCCTGTGCCGGCGGCGCACCAACGAGGAGCCCGAGTCCACGCGCCGCATGAAGACGGAGCTCCTGACGCAGCTGCAGGGCGACGCCGCGCCCTCTAGCGGCCACGCCGGCCACCTCTTCTTCGTCTGCGCCACCAACTGCCCCTGGGAGATCGACCCCGCCTTCCTGCGCCGCTTCCAGCGCCGGGTCTTCATCGGCCTGCCCGACAGGTGGGTGCAGCGCGTTGCAGTGCAGGCTGCAAGCTGCAAGGGTGGAGCGCCTGCGAGGTAGGCCACCACCGCGCCTCGCAACACACCGGCGAGCAGGGTGTGGCCTACCTTGCCCCCGAAGACTCCAGGGGCGAGGTAGGCCACCGTCTCCACACCGGTGTGTTGCGTCTCGGGCCGGTGGCCTACCTCGCAGGCGGTTATGGCCACACGCTGCGCAGTGGGCCAGAAGACCGGCGGAGGCGGCCAAAACTGCGCAAACGCGTTTTGAGCTCCAGAGTCGCTAAAGAGGACTCGAACCGAACGTGTGACCCCAATGGATTCCTCGGCCGGAGAGCAATCCATTGGTGGGGTCTCACGTTCGGTTCTAGTCCCATTTAGTGACTCTGGAGCCCAAAACGTGTCCAGATTTTTGGCCGCCTCCACCGGCCTTCTGGTCCACTGTGCGCCGTGCGGTAGGCAGCCCATTCGACACGGCCCTGTCCTCACTCTCTCGCTGTCTCACTCCCACGCACAGGGACAGCCGCAAGGAGATCATCCGGACCCTGGCGGCCGGGGGCACGACGGGCACGGCCCCGGGCTCCGAGCTCAACCTCCCCGCCGCCGAGTGGCAGAACCTGCTGGACCGCACCGCCGGCTTCTCCGGCTCGGACCTCTCGGACCTGGTGCGGAACGCCCTGTACCAGCCGGTGCGGGAGCTCACCACCGCCACGCACTGGATCGGCGTCGCAGGTGAGTCGGCACAAACCACTTTCGGCGGCCTCTTGAACTTGTGGGGGAGGGTAGGCAACACTCTAGGCTTTTCTGGAGCCCTGCACTTTATAGCTTGGCTGATAAGAGTGCTGTTGCCGTTGGCGTGAAGTGGAGGCTGCTGCACTATTATTGTGTTTCCTTTCGTTTTCTCAGGGGGAATGTGGTCACCCTGCTCCAGCAACACCGTAGGCGCCGTTCGTCGGTTTCTACACCTCATCCCTGCGGAATCTGTAAGTTGTGTTTGTGTGTGTGTATTATTTTTTGGCCCGGGGGGGGGGGGGCTAGAAAAGGCACAACACAGAGTCAGAGGCGCGCTTTCAGGAAAAAACGCGTTACGTTGAAATGGTCTGGTGTTTCCGGCACGGGCTGGCTTGATAGCGCAGCGCTCGTCCTTGGGAAGGCGTCTGCAAAGTTGTTTGCAAAGTGTGAGGAACTCGCGATAAGACGACCCGAGACGTCGCGACGGCCCGCTGTGTCTGACCTCTCCGTGCGTGCGTCTGCGTCGTCTCACAGTGGGCCAGACGAGCGGTGGAGGCGGCCTAAATTCCAGACGCGTTTTGAGCCCCAGAGCCGCTAAATTGGACCAGAACCAAGGTGTGACCCCCACCAATGGATTCCTCGTTCGGAGAGCAACCCATTGGTGGGGTCACACGTTCGGTTCGAGTGCGTCTTCGTCGTCCGCTTGGCCGGTAACTAGTTCTGTTTTCCGCTGCCAGGTCTGCGCACGCAGCGTCACCATCAGGGACTTCTACGACGTGATCGAGAGCGCCAGGCCCACGGTCTGCGAGGCGGACCTGCGACGCTACGAAGAGTTCACCCAACAGTTCGGACAGTTGGGCTAGGCCCGGCCTCTGGGCCCGGCCTCTGGGCCCGGCTGCAGGCAGCTACCAGGTCACAGACAATAGGGAGGGACCCTAATTTTACCATTGGATATTCTAGAGACCCTAATTTTACCACTATTGATTCGTTAATTGTAGATACCCCAATTTTACTACACTGTTGACTCGTTATTTGTTAAGCTGTTGTTGTTGTTGTTGTCAACACACTTCAATTTTTTTCTTTTTTCAGAAATACATTATTGTTTTCAAATTTTAATTTTTTTAAATCATGTTTCAGTTTTTAGTAAGTGTGTTTGACGGTCAATGAAATAAAAAAGAAAGTAAACAGTAACTAGTTGGAGGATTTATTTAACAGTTAGTCCTGACAAGAATATTTGTTGTGCTTACTAAATCTACACAGTATTATGACTAAAAGCGTGCTTGCCTTATTCTAACTTTACTGACTAATAGCAGGACGATATGCTTGGCCAGCATTTTGGGGATCAGTCCTGCACGGTTTGTTAACTAATATTCTTTACAAATGGATGATTTGAGAAAACACGACGATGGAGGAATAACGTAAACGCTACCACTCAATCACACACTAGACACGCTCACACCTTTTCCTATGACGAGCACTTTCCGTTGCGTGCGTATCGTCGGTCAAGTGATTTGTGGAACCGAAGCACAGAGGGCCGGAAGACCGGTGGAGGCGGCCAAATTTCTTTACGCGTTTTCAGAGTCGCTAAATGGACTCGAACCGGGCGTGTGACCCCACCAATGGATTGCCCTTCGAACGAGGAATCCATTGGTGGGGTCACACGTTCGCTTCGAGTCCTGTTTAGCGACTCTGGAACACTCAAAACGCGTCTAGAGTTTTGGCCGCCTCCGCCGGTCTTCTGGCCGACTGTGCGAAGTGAGCCAATCTACATGCACGCGATGATGAGACCCAAATTTGGACAACGATCACAGTCTTTGCATTTTGACGCGGGAGAGTGCGCTAGTCGCGCTAGTCCAGCGCCAACTTCCGGAAGCTGCCCTCGCAGCCGAAGTTGGCCTCGGCGTGCATCTGGGAGGGACCGCCCGGCCGCCTGGACTCGTCCACCTTGAGGGTGCGCTGCAGGGCGTAGTGGTCCTCGAAGCCGGCGAAGACGGGCCGGAACAGCGCTGCAACACGGGCAGGTCGCAGCAAGGCCGTGAGCTGGACACTCAGAAAAGCCTGTACACTGTTAAAAGTAAATCGGAAAATCCCAGGATGGGCGCCGGGAGTCCTCGGAGGCTTGGCTTTTCAAAAATATATATTTTTTTTAACTAAACCTGCTGGAAACTCATTCAAACAGAATCCTTGGCGGTTTTGAGATTTTTAGAAGTTCGTAGGTAACTTTTTGCCCAACTTCAAGAATTCCTAAAATACTTTTGAAGAGTGTACTTTCTCCACCATTTCACAAGGCAGCTCACCTTCCGTTTCGTCGCAGCTGGGGAGGTCGCCGCCCAGCTCCTTGGGCAGGTAGCGCGGCGACACGTAGCTGTACAGGCTCTTGAGGTTGGGGTGCATGATGACCTGCCAACGCGAAGCGACTCGTTACCCCCTTCTCGGTTCAAAATGGATGGCCAAGGAGCGGATAGCGAGGGGAAGGCGTTTGCCACATCGCCCCAAAGTCGTCTCTGTGGATCCGCCCTTGTCCGCTAGGATCACCAACTCACCCTCTCTTTTATCTTGTCCTTGAGCAGCATCTGGATGAGGTTGAAGGACGCCGCGTAGAAGGGCGGCGCGTTCACCAGGTGCAGTTTCTTCATCCTGGTCGGCAGCGCGCCCTGTCGGCGAAAAGCAAGCGCGTGTAAGGCAAGCCCAAGCTGGCAACACACTCTGCACAGCCGCACAGACTGACCATGATGCACGCAAAGTAGGTCTTGAGCAGGCCGAAGTTGAGGAGGGTCTGCTTGGCGTGGTTCGGCGTGAAGTAGCTCAGGTCGACGACCAGCTCGATGCCCAGGTTCGTGTCCATGCGCATGGCGGTGTCCGCCTTGAGCAGGTTCAGCCTGCACATGCGCGCGAAGTCCTCTTCGCTCTGGTCGTCACCCGAGAGGTTGGCGACGATGACACGCGTCAGGTCGGGTGTCAGGTCCTTTGCTAAACTGAGGGTTCTAGGGGGAAAGAAAGTGTACAGAATCTCCTCATTTTTTTTTGCGGAACCTTTAAGGAGGGACACTTACATGGTCCTGGTGCACTTGACCAGCTCCTCCTCGTTGATGTTGTAGCTGCCGAAGAAATCGTAGTGCACGGTGCGCGCCGTGAAGTAGTTGTCGAGTCCCTTCTTGCTCTTCTCCATGGAGTTCTTGCAGTTGAGGAGGTACGCTTTGAGCATCACGAGCTCAGACTCTGCAACATGGAAGCATCCTCTTGAACGCGCTCACGGGTAGTACTTCGCTTTTGTAAAAACATCACTTCCAAGCGACAAAAATACATAGCGGCGAGCGGGAATCGAACCGACGAACTCGCGCGCCAGAGACCGCGTCGCTCGTCACTCGGCCAACCTGGCAGGAACGGTAGGTGAGGCTGCATGTTGAACCACGCCCGGAGGCTCCTCGCGTCCGCGTCCAGGCGCTCCTCGTCCGTGCCCAGGTGGGCGAGCACCTTCTTGCGTTGGTCCGCGGTCGCCCTCCACCCCACCGGCATCTGGAAGGCTTCGGCGCAAGGCGGGGCCACCATCGTGAGGCCGTGAGGGCCGTGAGGGCTGAGGCAGTGCGAGAGGCAACGACTAAGAGCGTCTTCGTCTTCGTCGCAACAGTTGCCAGTTTCGACTGAGAACCCCGGCGGCGGGCCGCTGCTACTCCAGCCGGGGGACCGGTCTAGCGACGCCAAGCGAACCCACGTCCCCCCCCCCCCTCCAAATGGAAGGGGCCTTCTCATGGCAGTACCCTCGGTGTGAAAAATAATTAAAAACCAGGTGTACACATCAGCCACTGTGTCCAATCCAAGGAGGGAAATAGAACTCCCTCAACGGGTGCGTGGTCTTTGGACCTTCCTTTAGCGTACCCTAGTAAACGGAGTGCGATTGTCCACCTTAGTTTGCGAGCAGTAATGCCATCAAGTTGGTTTCCAGGCGGAAAATCGAACTCCCTCGACGGGGCGGTGGTCTTTAGACCTTCCTATTAGCAGGCCTTTGCTACGGAGTGCCTTAGTTCGGGAGCAGTACTGCCGCAAAGTTGTCCAAAACACACCACACATTAACCACGACTTGCCACACCTGCCTTCCTCACTGGAATATTTCGTGTCGGTCTTTCATTCCTGGTTCCCGAAGGAGCCCGCCTCGCCCGCCTCGCCCATCGTCCATTGGGCGGCCGGGCTGGTTCCTGCACGTTGTGTGTGCCGCCCGCCGGCCGCGCACACGGAGAGGACGTCGGAAACCCCCCTCGAAAGCTCGCGAGTCTGAGGTCAGTGCTGCTGGTCCGATTACCATCGCCGCGTGTGGGAATCCGCGAGCCCGAAAATCCGCCTCGAACGGCCGGAATGCAAATGTTTCAAAGTCCGTCTCAGGGCGTTTTCGTTTTCCTGGCCGTCCTGCCTGCAAGGTCACCTCTGGTTCGCTGTGGCATACGCGCACCAAGGAAAAGTGGAAAAGTTGGCGGGAACGCACGCAACGGCGGGGGGAGAAGGGGAGACAGGGAACTAGTGCGGGGAGGAGAGAGATGGAGCGATTAGCCGCGGCCCGCGGCGACAACGGGCGCGGAATGGGATGGAATTATTAAGGCACACTGTAGTTTTTCTGTATTTTTGTTTGTTTTCCTAGATCAGAGAGGAACTCACACGCTCAATCCGCATTGCCGGGAAAAACTCTTTCCTTATTTCTGCATCGTTCAAGAATTCATTATTTGCATGAAAAATAAAAAGAACTAAATTTGATTGGGCAAGGTGGAAAAAATGAGCTAAAATATTATTGTAGTTCTGTCTCCAGGATAGCCAGTCCAACCGAGCCCGACTGACTTCTTCGAATATTTCTATTAGTCATGTGATTTTTCTGCATGCGTGCATGTCGAAAATAGACAGGTGATTGGTCTTTTTTTAAAACGAGTCGTGCGAGCACGTCATAAAATAATAATAAACGCACGCTCCGAAACTGTATGTATGTATTCACAAATTTCAAGGATTCGAGTCAGGTTGATGCACGTGCCCGTTGCACTCGTGCTGGTGGGGACGCGACGACCCGCAGTCTCGCTAGTTCGTGTAAGGTTTCGTTCCGGTAGTGGTGAGGTAGTAAACTCCCTGTGGCCTGCAAGTCATGACGGAAAACAACACGTTTTCATACACCGTCAAAAACTAACAACGAAATACTTCAGCCAAAAAAAGGGCTAAAAATAAAAACTTACGTGGACGCGTTGAGGTAGTACCCCATGTTGACGGAGGGCCCACCCTCGTCAGTGCAGCGGTTGGCGATGGCCTTCTTGAAGGAGTCGCACTGCTTTGCGGGGAAGGCCGCGCGGTTCCCGATGGACGCGCCGTACAGCTCGTGGGCGCGCCGGTGGCTGCAGCTCCCTAAAAGCACCCTTTTACAACGAAAATTCGCACGAAAAAAATAATAAACACTGGGTATTTGAACCCCCGCCCCTCACCCAGCAGGCCGTCCGCGAACAGGCCCCCGCAGCCCGGCTGGGACACGGTGCCACCGTTTGGGTAGAAGTCCACGTGACCCGTGGGGTCCCGGTAGCCCAGCCTTCCCGCCGACGTGTGGATCACGTCCACCAAGTCGGCGTCCGTCGGCCGAAGGCGGTCCGGTGATGAGTCGAAGAACAGCGGCATCGCGGGGTCCAGGCCTGCGGGCCGACAACACCGTGACGACGTCAACAACAACAAAAACAAAAACAACAACGACAACAGTGGCCTCTTTCAGGCCAGTGCTACATTAAAAGGCGAGAGATGCTCGGTGGAGGCTGGACAGTGAACGTCGATAGCCGATACGAACTGTGTAAAGGAGGGCCTCGCCACTCGACAATCCTACCGAAAAATGACGGAAACCTAAAAAAGTAGAAAACAACAACAACAATAAGAGGGGTGGCTTAGGTCGCGGTGAGATAATCCGATAGCGCGGCTAGATGCGGAACTAAGCCACCTCATATAGTCACCGCTCATTTGGCCTGAGAGCGAGAGAGAGAGAGAGAGAGAGAGAGAGAGAGAGAGAGAGAGAGAGAGAGAGAGAGAGAGAGAGAGCATGAGTTGTGTGAAAACGTGTACTTGAGAGTAGTATGAATTGCGATTTATACTGTAAGGACAGTGAAAAGGAAGAGAGACTCGACCAAAGCAGGAATCGCAGGGGAGGGCGGGGGGGGGGGAATTTGCAAGTGAGGCCTGTGTGACAGGTTGCAAATAGGATCCGTGTTTTTAGCCGTGTGAGTAAAAGTCGTTAAACTGTGCGCGCCTTCCCGCGGTGCGCGGTGCGCGCGGTGCTCTAGGTCAAGCAACAACAAGCAGAAGCAGTCTGCAGCGCGCGTCTCAGTCGGTCCCAGTTTTCCCGCCAATGGTTGTGAACTCACGCGTCCTTAGCGTGCTCCTTACTGGTTATACCGGCAGTTAAAATAATTACCAAAAAAATTAAAAAGTCTTGACGGATATGTTTAAGTTTGTTCTTTCCGCTCGTTCATTTTTTACACTCTGTAACAACGTGACAATTTGGCAATCTGTTGAGTGCAACCCTTCGTCCCAACAGCGCTCAGGATGATGACGATGAGTCTGACACTGCCGAAACTTCGCGACGCACACACGTGGTTGGAGGATGCGGATGTTTGTCGGGCTAGATTACTCTACACACCGCCACACACACACGCAAACACAAACGCACAGACACTCATCCCTACACGCCCATCGTGGTTTACAAGATCGACGCGAGCAGTGCATGAGACTTCTGCAAAATATCTCATCCCGAGGCGCGTCGATTTGAATACAAAACTGGGAACGCTCGCTCCTCCTCCTCCTAACTAGTCGGGCCTCCTCCTGCCCTGCCTGACGCACTCACGTGCGCGTGCTTCCGGCGCGCGACTTGGAGACGAGTGCGTGCGCGCGGCCGGCGCACGGCACTGTGGCAAAAAGGTACGGAAAATTCTGTTAATTTTTTTGCCAGGATTCTCCGTAGCCCTCTTATAAATATTCTCCGTAGGCTCTTACAGTATTCTCCACAGGACCGCACAGTCTTCTCCGTAGGACCTGGAAGACTGTATAGTCCTACGGAGAACACTGTAAGGCCCTACGGAGACCACGGCACGGTCCTACGGAGAAAACTGTAAGAAACTACGGAGAATATTGATAAGAGGGCTACGGAGAATTACCACAAGCTGTTTACAGAATTTTCCGTAGCTTTTTGCCACAGTGGGTGGGCCAGAAGACCGGTGGAGGCGGCGAAAACCCTAGACGCATTTTGAGCCTCAGAGTCGCTAAACAGGACTCGAACGGAACGTGTGACTCCATCAACGGATTCCTCGTTCGGAGAGCAATCCATTGGTAGGGTCACACGTTCGGTTCGAGCCCCATTTTAGCGACCCTGGAGCTCAAAACGCGTCTAGGGATTTGGCTGCCTCCACCGGTCTTCTGGCCCACTGTTCGCCCAACAAATGACCCGGACTTCGGGAGGTGAGAGAGAGAGAGCCCACCTGAGATGCGGCCGACTGTGTTGACTTTGCCCGCGACGCCCGCCACGTGCGCGCCCAGGCTGTGTCCGATGAGGTGCACGTCGGCGAGGCGCGCCAGCCCGTTGTCCACCAGGAGCTGCACCAGCGCCGCCACGGTCTCGCCGACGCCCTGCACGTGCGAGCGCGACGTCAGGTACAGCGGCTTGGGGCACAGCACGCCCCAGTCCACGCCCAGCACGTTCGTCGGCGCGTCCGCGGCCAGCAGCGCTGCCAACAGGGGCGCAAGGCACTTTAAAGGGTTGCCAACTTGAGCCGGCGGACAAGTCAAAGCACTGCCGAAACACAGAGCGATTTCAATCAAAACCAGGTCCTCGTCGATCATTGGACATATCATTTTGACCTGACAAACTCGGAAAGTGCACATATCCCAAGCTGATTAGTCAGGGACACTATACACGCTAATGATTGCCGGTGACCACTTTGCAGGTCTTATCAGAGTACAGTGCTCCCTCCCTCCAACATGAGGATTCGGGGGACAAGTCCAGGTTGGAGAGAACAGAAGAAACAGTTGAACACGTGTTGCAAGGGACGGCGAGGGTCGAGCTCGCGCACCGAGAGGCCAATAAAAGCGATCGCGTTGAGGCCCGATGCCGACCACGCCTTCTGCCGGGCTCGCCGTGCTACCTGCTTCCTATTGTGGAGGCACCTATCGGTCCATACCATGGTCCGACGTTTTGGCGACCGTCCGGGTTTATGGCTGCACTCGCCAGACCCCTGTCAGACGGCGAGCTCGCCGAGGGTCGAGGGTACAAAGCGAAAATAAAAAAAATCAGGCTGGAGGGAGGCAGCTTACAAGGAGGGAGCACTGTACGCCTACACGTGTGGCATGCCACTCTTTGGGTCCGGGTGCACTGGTGGACCTCCTCACCTGCGGCGACGTTGGCGAAGAGGGGGTCCGTGATGTCGTGGCCGTAGCCGTGGATCACGATGGTGGTGGACAGCGACGCGTCGAAACCGTTGGCGGCCAGGGAGTCCAGCGAGTCCAGCTCGAACCGCAGTCCGGCCGGAGCGTCCCTGGGCAAGCAGAGAAGCACCCGTTAAACCATCTTGAGGCTCCTCGCACAGTGGGCCGGAAGACCGGAGGAGGTGGTCAAAATCCCGGCCGCCTTTTGAGCTCTAGAGTCGCTAAATGGGACTCGAACCGAGCGTGTGACCCCACCAATGGATTGCTCTCCGAACGAGGAATCGATTGGGTGGGATCACACGGTCGGTTCGAGCCCGATTTAGCGACAATTAGCTCAAAACGCGTCCTGAATTTCGACCGCCTCCACCGTTCTTCTGGCCCACTGTGCCTCGGTACGGACGAGCAGAGAAGGGCAGCACACTAGACGCACCTGGTGAAAATGTAGTACTTGACTGCCTTCTCGACCTTCAGCCTGGGCTCGTTCCTGGCGGAGGGTACTTCCCGGCCTGGTACATCACCATCATCGTCAAGTCGAGAAATTGCAACTCAGGGCCATGAAGGAATCAAGTTGGAACTCACTGGAGACGCAGCCGAGGCCCTGCATGGTGAGCACGGCGGCCACGACGGCCCAGCTTGTGGTGGTCATGGTGGCGGCGGACGATGGACTGCGGGCACTGGCGGGGCGCGGACTCCGCGAAGCTTCCTTATATACACTTAATCTTATCAGACAACGCACCGCGAAATTTGCGGCGGGGGATTATTTGAGGCTGAGCGCGAAGGTGGACCATGGACCGGTTGCAATGCACCGGTTGCGGACCGCTGGTGCACAGTGGGCCAGAAGACCGGATGATACCCCCCTGCAACAAGCAGCTATCTACGCTCACTGTCTCGATAACCGACTATCTACGCGCGCTCTCCCGACAACCGGCTACCTACACCAGCCGGTGGCAACTCCCCTTGCCCGGCTGAAACCAGGCTCGGAAGCGGAGCGGCTCCGTTTTCCAACTTTTAAACGAATAAAGCGAATAGAATCTATTTGATTGCCACATAACGAGTACATCAGGGCAACGTAAAATTTCACGTAGATTACGATTCTGCACTTACATTTGCAAAAAATAAGTTTGCGGAAAATCCGGATTTGTTCTTCGGAGTCTTCTGGCTCGTATGTGCTCGTCTCGGATTTGCCGAGTGTAGGTAACAAACAAAGAGCAGGTGAGAAAAGGTCACTTGCAATCGACTTCAGCCTTTTTCCTTGGCGGAGGGACTTTGCAAAGCCGAACGCCGGCAAACCAAGTATTTCTGTAAAGAAACAACAGGGAATATGAGGAATAACCTCAATTCCGGAACAGCCGGGCAGGAAGCAGGGGGCCCGAGCGGCCCATTTGTGGTGGTTTAAGTGGCGGCGTACTGCCCCTTTGCGGGGTTGGCAGTGGATTGGACTTTTAAGTTCCAATGTTAAGTGGCCATAGGAACGCACCGGCCAGTATGGGGCGGGGGAATTAAGTGATGTTAAAGGTCCCAAATGGACGTTGCAATGCCGGGTTGCAGAACTTGGTACAGTGGCATTTAACCATTACCCCCGCAACAAGAAGCTCCACGCCACCAGTACTCTATAACCGAATCCGCACGCCTTCCGATCAAGACTTGCGACCCGGGCCAGGACTTCATCGTTGTCCGGCTACCGCTGGAAGCCTTCAGCCTCCAACTTACATCTGGCATCATAAGGCCGCATAGATCTATTCCTGCACTAACAAGTATTGGGCACAAAATTTTCCCCGAGAGCTTGATGCCGTGCAGAAAGTGCTGGGCGCCATCGGATTGCGCATCCAATTGGTTATGGCTATAATACGGAGCGCCCTACCGTACGCTCTCTCCCTTTTATGCGAGTTTAATTAAACACTTACCACTAGAGCTTTATCGCACTTGCAATCACATGCCACATTCTCACCCTTGTTGCCACTTTTGCCAACTTGCCACTTAAAACCCAATATCTACTTAATTGCCACCTAGGGACACCTTGCCACTAACCTCTTTTCCGGGAGGTTTTGTTTCTATGTTTAAATACTTGTTTTAGCCGGCGTTCGAGCTTTGCAATAGTCTCTATACCAAGGGAAAAAGTGTGATCTTTCGATTGCAAGTGACCGTTTTCCTCTAGCTGCTTTAGTTTGTTTACATTAACACTCGGCAAATATGAGACGAGCTGATACGAGCGAGCCGACGCCGCAATATGAACATAATCCGTGATTATTTCCGCAATCCTTCGTCTTTTTGCGAATGTAAGTGCAGAATCGTAATCTACGTGAAATTTTACGTTGCCCTGATGTACTCGTTATGTGGCAATCAAATAGATTCTATTCGCTTTATTCGTTTAAAAGTTGGAAAACGGAGCCGCTCCGCTTCCGAGCCTGGTTTCAGCCGGGCAAGGGGAGTTGCCACCGGCTGCCTACACGGGCTGTCTGGATAACCGACTATCTGCTTTCTCCACCTCGCGAGATTGAATGCTTTTATTTATCCAACCAATGAAGTTGCCCTCGCAAAACCTTTACCAAAACTTGTCAAAAGTTTGTCAAAGCAAGATTAAGTATGGTGTAAACGAGTCGCTTTAAGTGTCATGGAGAAAAATACTTCGTTATACGACAACCCTAACCTCGCTACGATGTTGGATAGTCGGTTATCCAGACAGCCCATGTAGATAGCCGGTTGTCGGGAGAGCGCCCGCAGATAGTCGGTTATCGAGACAGTGAGCGTAGATAGCTGCTTGTTGCAGGGGAGTATCGCGGAGGAGGTGGTCAAAATCCCGGACGCGTTTTGAGCTCCAGAGTCACTAAATGGGACTCGAACCGAACGTGTGACCCCACCAATGGATTCCCCGTTCCGAGAGCAATCCATTGGTGGGGTCACACGTTCGGTTTGACTCCCATTAGGCGACTCTGGAGCTCAAAATGACCGCCTCCACCGTTCTTTTGGCCCACTGTGTGACGGTTCATGGATTTGTGTGACTCAGCGAGTCTCAAAAGCGGATAGGCCGCTCCTTCGCCATCCGACCGCTCGCGTCCCGAAGTGCAAATACGTGAGAGGCGAGCAGTACGCGCTGTTAGTTTTGCACGAAAGAAAGAAAGGTTCGCAGAAAATGCTTGCGAGCTCACGGAATCGAGCCACGCTGGGATAAACCCGTCGAACGAGGTTCACTCGTCTCGGTAACTTCGTACAAAGATAACGAAGATACACGCGTTTGTGAAGCACGGGGTCCTTTTCGGAGCTGTGAAATTTTGACTGCATGTTTCTTTTTTTTCAGTGCGCACATGATAGTTTTCAAAGCGTACTTGGCATTTTTCAAAGTGCCCTTGGAATTTTCCAAGTCGCACAGCTTTTTTGCCTGTTTGGTTAATTTTCCGTTTTTTTTTTTTTTTTTTAAGACGTGAACACTTGTTTTCTACCAAGATTGCGTTTGGACGTTTTGAGGTCACTTGGGCACGGCAGCAGATAGTTCAGGGGAAGTATGCGGGTGGTTGTCGAACGTAAACACAGGCGTTTTATTCATCGCTCAAGTCTTTATTGGCATCACACTATCAGTGTAACCAGGTACACATTTCACGCAACATTTCAAAAAGAGGTAAAAAAATAATAAATTGCACAGTATTTACACATTTCACAATAACGGTCCCTGCGCGGGTCCTTTATAGCCTAAGGGTATGTTACAAATGTACAGTGCGACCTGAGGGCCTGCCTCAAAGCCTTGGGCTTGACTCATCGTCGGTCTAGCGTTCTAGCTCTGCTCCGCCCGGCTGTGGGCAGACAGGTCGAAGGGCGCGGAGCTCGCAGTCTTCAAGTAGTACTTGCCGGTGCCGTCCTCGCTGCGAGGGGAAACAAATTCCAATTAGAGCCACAAACAGAGAGAGAGACTACGAATGGCAGTATGAGCGGCAACAATGACATAAACAAGTTTGATGCTATTCATTAGCCTCGACATTGCCACCAAGTGACAACAAAAGCAGAGAGACACTCACTTGTACTCGAGGTTGAGCCCCATGTTGCCGTCGGTCTTGTTGGTGCACTTGCCGTTCTTGGCGTCGTTCTGCGTGTCGCACTCGCTGGCGGGGAAGGCGCCGACCTCGACGGCGGACTCGGCCATGAACTGCCAGGACCGGCCGTGGCTGCAGGCGCCCAAGATGTCGAGGCCGCAGCCGGGCTGGGGCAGGTGGCCGCCGTTGGGGTAGAAGTCGACGTGGCCGATGGCCTCCGCGAGGCCCAGCCGCCCGCCGCAGGTGTGGATCACGTCCACCAGCTTGGCGTCGTTCTTGTTGAGGCGGTCACTCTTGAGCAGCAGGTACAGCGGCATGGCGGGGTCCAACCCTGTATTCGTGCGCGTGGGGTGGTGGTTAGCGTCTTCGCTTGCGAACCGTGGTCCGCGGGGTCGAGTCCCAACACCGCACAGTGAGCCGGAAGACCGGTGGAGGCGGCCGAAACTCTTAAAGCGTTTGGAGCTCCAGAGTCACTAAACAGGACTCGTATCGAACGTGTAACCCCACCAATGGATTCCTCGTTCGGAGAGCAATCCATTGGTGGGGTCACACGCTCGGTTCGAGTCCCATTTGACGACTCTGGAGCTCCAAACGCGTCCGGAATTTTTACCGCCTCCACCGGTCTTCTGGCCCATTGGGCCACCCCACTGCCGTACCTGTGATGCGACCGATCTTGTTCTTGCTCTTCAAGTCCTTGCCGGTGCAGCCCGCGACGTGGGCGCCCAGGCTGTGGCCGATGAGGTGGAGGTCCTCGAGCTGCAGCCCGCCGTCCTGCTCCAGGGCGTCCACCAGCTTGGCCACGATCTTGCCCACGCCGGTGGCGTGGTTGCGCGCCTCGATATAGAAGGGTGCCTTGGCCAGGTTGCCCCAGTCGACTCCAATCAAGTTGCAGTCCGTGTTCTCCAAAATGCCTGCCGGCAAAGTAGCGCGGGTTCGAATACCAGTACCGACCGCGACATTTCCGTTTTTCATCGTGTTTTTCTCAGTCGGTTTCCTTACCGGGCAGCATTTCAGTGAACAGAGGGCTCTCGATGGTGTTGCTGAAGCCGTGGATGACTACCTTGGTGGGCCTCTTCGGGTTAAAGCCCGCAAGCGTGAAGGCCTGGGCGTTCGGCGCAACCAAAGTGCCGTTCGGGTTCTCCCTGAAATAATTTTTCAGAATATTTTGAACTAGGTGAAGTGGCCAATGGTTTTCAAAAATAGAGTGCCACCACCCAGAACGAACCTGGAGAACAGATAGAAGAACACGTTGCTGGCGTAGTTGGTGGCGTGCAGCGAGACCTTTTCGGGCATCTCGATGAGGTAGCCAATCTCGGCCACGCCGTCCTTGTGGTGGAAGGCGGCCGTGGTGGGGTGTCCGAGGCGGCGCCACTCGTCGATCTCGGGCTGCAGGTGGGCGAAGTACTTCCGCACCTGCTCCTTCTGCGTCAGCAGCTGCGGCTGCTCCGGCAGCACGGCGGCTGCAAACGTGGGAAGTGAGGTTAGTCGCCCACTTTGAGGTTAGGCCGGCCTCTGTGGCTCCAGCGTCGCTAAATGTGACTAGAACCGAACGTGACCCCACCAATGGATTGCTCTCCAAACGAGGAATCCATTGGTGGGGTCACTTGTTCGGTTCAAGTACCAATTAGCGACTCTGGAGCTCAAAACGCGTCCCGGATTTTGACCGCCTCCGCCGGTCTTCCGGCCCACGTCCGACTCACCTGACAGGACGTGCACCAGGGCGCACAGCGCCGCGCACACTGCGAATCCCTTGGCCATGGCGGCGTCGGCGGGTCGTTATGGGACTGTGGGATGGTTTGCGGGGCGGAATTGGCAAGACTAAACAGCCAGGAGAGCCTGCCCCTTTTATAACTCGAGCCACGTGCTTATCTCGCTGTCCCCGCGATCCAGGTCCCTGCAGGCTTATCGCGGGGTGGGAAGCGAGCTTTCGGAGGGTGGCCGGTCTGCAGCCTGCCAGCCAACCCGGCACAGCCCCCATCAACCAGTTTTCTGCGGGTTCCCAAAATGGGTCACTCGCCGGAAGCGGGGGAGGAAACGGCGCGCGGTTGGCCGGTTGGCGCCAAAATTCGCGCGGTGGGCTGGGGGATCAGGGAGCTACTTCACTCTCTCGTAGCGAGGGGGTGACTCACTTCCAGTTCAATCGATAGAGATCGATAGAGCGTGTTTATCGTGAGCTGCTCCTCTAATAAACCCTTTCAGTCGCCGCCGAGGGAAGAACAAAAGTTATCAAAAAGTAAGTATCAGAGGGTACGTTCCCAGTAGTTCCTGGCTGTTGATTACTTTTTTGTTCTTCACTCGGTGACGACTGAAAGGGTCTATTGTATGTCGTGTACTGAAACAGGAGTATTATAGGACGCAGATCTGACCGGGGGGCGGGGGTGGGGAGTATGGCTGCATGGCACCGCCTCTTGGGGTTCAAATGGAATGGAGCTGATGCCTCTTATGAATGGGGATGCATGCCCCCCGGCTCGCCGGCCACCCAGGCCGTGCCAGGCCGCCTCGCGCATTGAGGTCCCCGGGCGGCATGGGCGGCATGGGTGGCCACCGCCATGGGCCGCCATAGGGCGCCAGGCCAATTTGGCGATGCGCACGACACGAGTGGACCTTCACACCGTGGTCGGTTTACAGCGCAGCGGGCACCCTGCCGTTTCGACCTGTCAACAAATGACACACCCACTGGCCTGTCGCGTCGCCCCGTGAGTGCGAGAGAGACGGAGCGGTCGGCTGATCCGCCAAGCAGTTGATTGCCGCGGAAGGATCAGTCCCTTGGGGCCAATTGCCACTGCGTGCTTTATGGGCAGAGAGTCACTCACGGTGGCGTGTCCCCCATCTGTCTCTGTCGCACCCATGGGGCGGCCTATCGTCGCTCTCTGTCGCACTCATGGGGCACTCGAAGAGCCACACACTGCAAGTAGGCACAACGTGCTGACTTGCGCCGCCCTCCGGCCGGCTCTGGAGCCGCCACTGGACTGGGAGGTACACTGGGAGGTAATGAGGGACTTGACCCTCGCCTAGTTACGCGTCAAACAGCCACGCAGTCGCACGCACAGTCGGGGCCTTCCCCGATCAGCCAAGCAACTCCCAGAAACGGTAGGTTCGACAAAGAAAAAGACTTGCAGGATTTGAACCCCTGCCATCGCTACCCGCGCCCAGCAAGAGCGGGCAGATCTTTCTAGAATAAACCAGCGCAAATGAAGGGCTTAGCGCCGCTTATTGCCCCGTCGCCACTGCCAAACGGTTGCCATCACCGGCCAGTATCATTAGCGAACGTCCGAGCCCTCGAGAGGGCAGTGGCAATAGCACCTTCCGAAAACAATGGCCAATCTTTATGGCTTGCTTTGGCCGCTTTGGCCGCTTAGGCCGCTTGTGCCACCGAGCCGGGCCGCGCCGCGCCGGGCTTGTAGTTTGTCGATTGCGAATTAGGACGAACGCACAGTTAAAAATATTTTTAAAATATCCAAGAACTTTGCCCTTGATCTGCGGAAAATTCCAAAACCGAGACTGTGTCTATTTTCCGTGAGTATTCGGCAAGTACAGGACAAAAAATATGAATAAATTGAAAAACGAAGCCTTTGTAAATTCCCCGCGGCGCTTCGGAACGCACTTTTTCGGAATTTTAAAATTTGTCTTTAACAGTGCAGGACGAAGCGGCGTTCACTTTCCAGAGAGACACGGCCATGTCCTTGCGGGTGATCGTGCCGACGGTGCCGACGAGCGGCGTTCTGCAGTCTGCAATTATCAGTGTCATATAAATGCTAAGGCATTCTAAAAAAGAAGAAAAAAATTTAAAAATTGCAAAATAATTTTTATTTAGCGCTGTGCGATTCCACGCTCTTTTCCAGCGTGCCGGCGCGGCGCTCTGTGCGCTTGCAGTCTTGCAGTGTACCCGGCTGCAGGCAGACGCCGGCCGACGAGGCGCCGTCTCTCTCGCGAGGCGCCGCGCCGGAGAGCGAGAGAGACGGAGAGAGGCTCGCGCCGCTCTCCTCGCCTCTTTATCTGTGCGTGGCCGCGCGCTCGTCCGCGCTAATTGCCCTCTATCCCGTTTATTGGCCTTCCGTCTCCCTCGCACGCACGGCGCGGCACGGCGCGGCACGGGGCGGCACGGGGCGACCCGCGGGGTGCGAGAGAGACGGGGTCGAAGTAAGACGCGGCGGCGCCCTCGACGCGTCGCCGCGGACGACGACTGCGGGGCAAGCGGATTTGTTGTTGTTGTTGTTGTTTTGTTGTCCCAAAAAACAGTGGCAACGGGACTGAAATTGCGGCCCTGGAAGAGGCGCCTGCGAGGTAGGCATGTTGCTGGCCCATCCGCACTCCGGTGTGGAGATGGCGGCCTACCCTGCAAGGCGCTCTCCAAAGGGCAAGAGGTCTTTCTGTGCGTGTTTGTGGGGGATGGGTGGGTTCTTTTGTTCCGATTACAGCCCATTATTTCATCAACGTCCGTTGCGATTCCATTTGAATTTTTGTTTTTAAACTTTTAGTTCCAACTTAAATTTTGCCGAATCGAGCCACGAGCCAGGACTGCCTAAGTTACACGAGCAGTGACGCCCACGCCGAGCCGACCGGTGCTCGGAGACGGCGGGCTGCCGCCGACTTCTCTGCCCTTATCGGAAGGGCTCGCCTCGTCCGTCGCGGCGCAGCGGCGTAGCGGCAGCCTAATCCGCGCCACCGTAACCCGCCGGCCGGCCCTCTGACGGCCACTGACAGTGATGGTTCTTTAATGTGGTTAATGTGACTTATCTGGCCGTGACATTGCCGAGCGCTGTCGCCTCCTGCCAAAATCTCGCGGGGAAAAGGCGGGAAATTTCCCTCGACAGAGCAGTGGATTGTGATGGAGAGGGGAAATGTCCCGGAGGCGCGAGCGGGAAATGTCCCGCAGGCACAACTCCCGCGCCGAAAACAGCGCGATTGTGTTGGCGTGGGACTTTCCGACGTGGCGGTCTTTGCTCGTTCCAAACCGGCTGCTGTGCGACGAAGCGAGGTCTTCGATGTATTTCAATTGTGCTGAATGGTCATTTTGATCAGGGCTCATGAATAGTGAGGAAACGACCTGTCGCCCCTGAAGTGTTGGACTCCCAAACTCGAATGCCACAGACAGACAATGCCAGCTTAAATCACCGGCATGTGCAGTTTATTCAGACTTTGCATGACAGGCGCGTTCGCGCTAATTCTACAATGTGCACGAAAATTTCATTCAATTTTGAGCGTTTTTAATTTATCGAACAAAATTGCACGCATGAAGAGCGCAGCACCACGTTAACGAATTTTTCGTGTTCAAAATTGAGTGAGACTTCATACCAAAAAATTAGTGTGCATGGTTTCTGTTTAACAGTGCTGGAAGTTCTTTGTCAACTTGAGTCTGTCGCTGGCGGGCACGTTTGCCGTGGTCGAATACGGTGGCTGCCTGTTGGTCGCGACGTAGAAGGAGCCACGGGCCCTGCAAAAAATGTAAAATTTTAAAAAATGTGGAAAACGTAACGCTGTTTTTTGTTTTGTTTTGTCTTTTGTGACTTACCTGCGGTCGAGGCCGAAGCCCATGACGGCCGTGGCGTTGCCTTGGCACGCGCCCTTCTTGTAGTGGGCCCACGAGTCGCAGGCTGTGGCCACGAAGGCGTCGGGCGACTCGATGGACTCCAGCAGCAGCGAGTAGCTCCTGCAGTGGCTGCACGCCCCTGCAGAGCGGCCAGGCGAAACCCATCAGAGGCGAGGCAGGGACGCCCTGGCGGGTAGGCCGCCCATGCAACGCCCGCGCCAGCAAGGTGGCCCCGCCGCAGAGTCGCTAAACAGGACTCGAATCGAACGTGTGACCCCACCAATGGATTCCTCGTTCGGAGTGCAATCCATTGGTGGGGTCACACGTTCGGTGCGAGTCCCATTTAGCGACTCTGGAGCTCAAAACGCGTCCGGGTTTTGGCCGCCTCCACCGGCCCGTGCTCACCGAAGTCGAGGCCGCAGCCGGGCTGCACCCAGGTGCCGTCGTTGGGGTAGAAGTCGGCGTGGCCGATGGCGGCGTGGTAGCCGAGGTAGCCGGCGCACGTGTGGATCACGTCCACAAAGCCGGCGTCCGACTTGTCCAGCCGCTCGTCCACGTTGCTGGTGAACAGCGGCCCGGCCGGGTCCAGCGCTACAAACCCACAATTTAAAAAAAAAAACAATCAAGAAAAAAAATTCACAAGATTTTTGTTTAAAAAAATCAGAAACTTAATTTTTTTTTCTTTAAAAATGGAAACTACACTAAATTAAGAGACCGGCCGCTTGCAGTGCTCGCGCACGGCTGCTGCGCCGTGGAGGCAGGCAGCCCAACTGCCCCGCATCACACGTAATCGGACGCACAGGGCAGTCAGAGCACTTAGTGGGCGTGAGTCGCAACGTGACTGAGTCAGAATCGCGCAGAAACGCGTGTGCCGGCATCAGCACTCATTGCATGACCGAATCAACGAGTTTTTCTCGTTCTCACCGTCCTCGGTTTTTGTCTCGGTCGCGTTTCCTCGCACTGCCTTACAAAACGCGACGGCACGGTCGATGTAAAGTCCCACTCGCGGTGCGGCCACGTGAGTAGGCAAGCGTTTCCCACGATGTACCAGTGTGGAAAGGGTTGCCATCCTCCACCCGGCACCAGCACACTGCGCTGCTTGCTCTCCGAGCGAGGGATCCATTGGTGGGGGGGTCACAAGCGGCCAGAACTATAGACGCGTTTTGAGCTCCAGAGTCGCTAAACGGGACTCGAACCGAACGTGTGACCCCACCAATGGATTCCTCGTTTGGAGAGCAATCCATTGGTGGGGTCACTCGTTCGGTTCGAGTCCCATTTCGCGACTCTGGAGCTCAAAACGCGTCTAGAATTTTGGCCGCCTGCACCGGTGGCCCGCTGCGTGCCAATGCGTGCCGCTGCGTACCTGTGATGCGGCCCGTGTCACCGAGCCCCGCGTTGCGCGCCGCGAAGCCCATGATGTGCGCGCCCAGGGAGTGGCCCACGAGGTGCACGTCGTGCGTGTCCATGCCGCCCGTCCACACCAGCTGGTCCAGCAGGCGGCCCACCAGTGTGCCCACCGACGACACCCGCAGTCGGGCCGCCACGTAGTTGATGGAGTCGGCGCCGGACCAGTCCACCAGGATCACGTTGTAGTCCGACACCTCCAGGATGGCTGCAACGCGGAACCGGAAGGAGCACTAACGCGGCAGGCTATTTCGGGCAAAATGCACGACAGCAAAAAGTGTTTCCAGGATTCCTCAGCGCAATACTCTGGTTTCCCATCGTGAGTCTCACAGATCAATCATTGTCTTGTTAGCGCCGTCGGCGAGTCTGCTTAGACAGCGGGTCAGACGAGCAGGCAGTCGTGTCAACATGGAGGAAGCACGCGTCAGTCGGGTTGTCAACCGTCAAAGGTGTTGTTGCCGTGAGGATGGGCTAGTGAGGTTGGGTTGTGTTGGGTGCAACCTAACCTCGCCTTGGTGTAACATGGAACACTGACCGTCCTTGAGCAGAGGGCCGCCAGCGCCCTTCTCCCTCTTCTGCCCCGACAGCCAGCCGTGCACGATGACCTTGGTCGGCACCAGGGGGTTGAAGGGTGAATTCTCCAGCAGCTCGGGCTGCCTCACGTCCAGAATGTGCGGCTTGCCGGTGTTGTGTCTGCAACAGAGACGGAGTCAGTGTTGCCACACTAGGCGCGTCGAAACCCCCCTCGATGCATCGGGATCAAAAGAGCAGCCAACAACTGCCTGCATACAGGGTAACTTCTCGAGCGAAGCCTAGTGGGCAGGCTGAGGTTGGCAGCCCTTTCAGCACCGGCAACGCTGCCCGCGGTCGACCTTGAACTTGGGATGCACCCACTCCTCACCTGGTGAACAGCTGGAACACCACCTCCTTGCTGAGGTGCTCAATGTCGACGCCATCGCTCTTGTTGGAGGCTGGAAGCATAACGACCTAAGTCGAGTTAATCGTTCAAATCTGCAGCCCCCCCCCCCTCGGGGCACCACCCGGTGAACCAACCGTACGGTAAATATGTGCTCCTTTTGGCGCGAACTTCAGGGAAAGTCCTCACGTACGTTAAACCCGGCGAAGCCAGCGAGGCCTTGTGCGTACACACCGACAAACCATACGATGCTGGATGGAAAAATTGTCTCTCTGGTCTTTCCCGCCCCACCTCTCCCCACCCCCTATTCCTGCGCCTTCTACTTCTCCCACACACACACACACACACACACACACACACACACACACACACACACACACACACACACACACAGAGCCGCACGTGGCACGTGGGCGCTCCGTTCATGCAACTTTTCGCAAACAGCGGCGGCGCTTATGGCCTGTGCGTAACGCCTGCCGGCTGACAGCGTGCGGCGTGAGGCAGGAGCCGTGGCAGCTAGGAGCCGGTCGCGCCGGTGGCGGGGCTCAGCGGCCCAGCGGACCCAGCGGGCCCCCAGCCTCTCTAACCGCGTCGGCAAACACACTCCCGCGGCGGGGCCCCAAATTTAGAACAAACATTTGCGTCGCGTAAATATCCTACTCACTCAGTGATAAGTGAGCAGCCTCGATATCGACCCGAAATTTCCTGCGCGTCACGCCGTGCGATAGTCACTGCCACTTTAAGTCGCAGGTCCCAGGGGTCCGACCCGTGCACACGGTGGGCTCAGTACAGGCAGGCATTCAACAACACAAACCCCTGCAGCTACGCACGCCTTGCCAATTTTAAAACACCGCCGTTTTGAAAAATGCCGACAATGTCAGCCCTTTGAGTCGCAGCACTTATAGACCCTCCCCGACAGGTGTGAAGATTGCTGTCAAGCTGACGGCCCGTCACGCACGTGTTGGGTCGTGTTGGTGACGCCGCGACGCCCAGCTGTGACCCACTTCACGACTGCGCTCCAGCGGCTCCAGCACCGCGGCCTAGCTCACCTGCGTGTCCGCGGCCGGCGGCCAGGGCCAGGAGCAGCCCTGCCACCAGCGGGAGGGAGTGCGGCATGGCGAGGACCGTGAGGACCGCGAGGACGGCGCCGCTGTCTTTGCTCTACTGACTGACTCAGACTCAAGCTTGCCGCCGCACTCTCTCTCTCGTTGGCACTCTAGAGGCGACGCAAGGCGACGCAAGGCGACGCAAGGCGACGCCGCGCCATGCCGTTGCTTTCGGTGTGGCCGGTGCTCTGCAGGTGGGCGGCCCGCTCTTCGGCCCGCCAAAGAGAAGGGCAAGGGCGGATCCAGAGGCGGCTTCAGGGGGTGCCATGTCGCAGGAGCCGCCTACCCACAAGGGCAAAGAGCGGCAATCCCTCCGCCTGGGACTGCAGCTACAGCCGGGCACTCCAACGCAGGACGGGCTTGGCTGGGCTGACTACCAGGAACAGGGCAATCCAATTGTCTATCTCTACAGCGGTCCGAGATAATGCAGCACAATGCAGAAGATTGGAAAAATAGGTAATCGAATTCATGAAATAAGTTTTTGTTTTCGTTTCCAAGACGTTCGTAACTCGTCGTTCGCGTTGCGGTTGAGTTGAGATAGCACGTCCTGCCTGGCACTTGTCGGGGTGGTGGTGACTCGAGTCGAGTCTCCTTGCAGGACTTGAAGACGCTACGGTTCTTCGGGCCGCTGGGCTGCCGGTCGAGTGCCTTGATAGCGCGCATCCGCCTGCGTCTGGTTGGCTTTCGATCTGCCGCTCCCACCGCGTGAGCATTATGGCCTCACATGCTTACATCCACACACGGAGAGTCGGCGGAGGCCCACGACGACAGGCGTGACGGCCGTCAAGGGGAAGTTCGCGCCCGGGCACTGGGCTGCCCGCAGCCAGGGAATGCCAGATGGGTTGCCTACGCGCCGCTTCGCAGGGATACGCAGGGACGCTCCCCCTCTCTCTAAAGACCTGTCGGCTGCACCACAACCACAACAAATCCTCGCCGGCTCGGTAGTTTTATACTTGCCCTCGTGACACCGCCACGGAAGAAGCCACACATTCCGACCTTGCCCGCTACACTGTTGCTGAGCCACTGTAAGCAGATTGTCCCTTTCAATCTTCACCACAATGACTACTCCAGTGGCTCTTGTAAGTGGAAGGTTTGGTTATGTGCTGCCCTGTACAAACCAAAAGACAAGTTAATCATGCTTTTGCGGTCATAAGTCTGAGATTAATTCAATAAGACACCACCGCTTCACCTCATGTGAGTTTTAACTTCACCTGTGGTATTGCGTATTTCTGCTTGTATTGAGCCTAATCAATGTCTGAAGCATCTCCGATTTCTGTTGACTTGTATCTTTTTTGTGTTGTTAAACAGGTGACAGGATCTAACAAAGGCATAGGGTTTGGTATCGTCAAAGGCTTATGTGAAAAGTTCCCTGGGATCGTTTATTTAACTGCACGAGATGAGGGTCGGGGTAAAGCTGCTGTTGCAGAATTGAACAAGGTAAATACCGTGATCCATTTTAAACGTCTCTCTATCAATATGTTTGTGTATCATACTTAGTTTCTACTTATTTTCAGCTTGGTTTGAAACCAGAGTTTCACAAGCTAGATATTACCAATAAAAATAGTGTCATTGCTCTAAAGAATTTTATTAAAGAGAAGCACGGTGGCCTTGACGTCCTGGTAAATAATGCTGGCATTTCCTCTAAGGTGAGCTCATTATTACACAACTCATTGCATATATTTGCTCTATCAATAATCATAAACTGTTTCTATGACTTTAATTTGACAAAATTTTCTTCCCAGCAAACTGGTTCAGATGTATTCAGCATTCAGGCTGAATTAACCTCAGGAACTAATTATTTTGCTCTGGTCGACTTCTGCCAAGAATTATTTCCCTTGTTGCGCCCGCATGCAAGAGTTGTGAATCTCTCCAGTTCCAGTGGTCATCTACTGCGCATTCCTGGAGAAGCCATTCGAAAGAAATTTTTGAATCCTGATCTCACAATTGACGAGCTGTCAAATTTGATGCAAAGCTTTGTAAAGTAAGTTCTATGGTCTTTTCTGTAAAGCATGTTTTATTCTTGTATTTTTTAAATTCACAATATTTTATTTACTTTTTGAAGGGCAGCAAAGGATGGCAACCATGAATCCCTTGGTTGGGGAAACAGTGCCTATGTCGTGTCCAAAGTTGGTGTGAGCAAACTGTCCTTCATCCAGCAGGCTGAATTTGACAAAAATGGCCCTGAGGACGTTGTTGTGAATGCTGTCCATCCCGGATACGTTGCCACTGATATGACAAGCCACAAAGGACCTCTCACAATTGCAGAAGGTACGACAAAGTGCTGCCTCATTTCTTATTTTAAATCTGGCTTGTGTCAAAGTTGCATTTCATTCATTTGCGTCCATCTTATTTTCAAAGGTTCTGCTGCGGCAATTTATTTGTCGCTGCTTCCTACCAATGTGAAGGAGCCCCGTGGAGCCTACGTTTGGTTTGACAAGAGCATTGTTGCCTGGGACCAACCAGCACCAGCTGAAGATTAGTGCTGACAGTGTGTTTCAATTGACTAACAATTTGTCACTCTGTAAGAAGCCGCTGCTCGATTTGTGCATGTGACCTTCTTCAGAAAGTCAAAGGAAAATAAAAACACTTTTTTTTTTTAAATAATGATTTTTAAATTATTGGAATATTGTTAGATATAGGGCTTTAAGCCAGTTACGTAGCGCCTGCGAGGTAGGCCATCGGCCCGTTCTGCAACACACTGCTGTGGAGACGGTGGCCTACCTCGCCCCTGTGAGGGGCAACGTAGGCCACCGTCTCCACAGAGGTGTATTACAGATCGAGCCGGTGGCCTACCTCGCTGTTCGCAGGCGCCTAAGGGTGGCTAAAACTGCGCGCTGCACGCTGCACGTCACTTGTTTGTAAACCATGGTTTGTCGAATCCTATCGTCCTGGAGATGAGTCGTTTCCGTTTTCGGGGTCGCATTTGGGCGCAAGACCAAAGTTCCAAGATTGTCCCGAAAACATGATGACCACCCGCCCAGCTTGTCCGCAGCGCGCATGCCCCCTCCCCCTCCCCTCACCTTCCCCTTCCATTAACCGGCTAGCACTGCGCGGGTCGCCCGTTCTCGTGACTTCCAGTGGCTGCGATTACGCCACAGAAGCCAGGCAGACATTCCAAGTTTGTTATTCAGAGCCAGTGGATCTTCATCTTCATCTCCCAGTCGCCTTCACCACAATGACTACGCCCGTCGCACTTGTAAGTGTAAACTTTAGGAAAGTTTGGTTATGTGTGCTATGTCCAGTGGTCCAGTGAAAACTGTCAAAGTGACACTAGTATGTCAGTGCTGTGACAGCTCTTTCCATTAACCTTGGCACTTCGGTGTACAGAATTTTGCTGATGATGTGGGATCTGGATGATAAAGTTATCACAGCTATGTTCTTCAAAAAATCGTGGCCCTACCTGCAGGACTTAAAAAAATATCGCTATTTGTGAATAAAAAGTAGATATAAAATTAAAATGTCTTCTGAGAAACATTCTCAAAAATGATGCTTGTTTGATTCAACATCTAAGGTGTTTTTAATTATCTGCTGACTTGTGTCTTTGTGTTGTGCAACAGGTGACAGGATCGAACAAAGGTATAGGGTTTGGTATTGTGAAAGGCTTATGCGAGAAGTTCCCTGGGATCGTTTATTTAACTGCACGAGATGAGGGTCGGGGTAAAGCTGCTGTTGCAGAATTGAACAAGGTAAATACTGTGGTACATTTTAAATTTGCTTGGGGTGTTTAAATCAACACATTCGCATCATCAATCTTACCTTTACTTTCTTCAGCTTGGTTTGAAACCAGAGTTTCATCAGCTAGATGTTACCAATAAAGATAGTATTCTTGCTTTGAAGAATTTCATCAAAGAGAAGCATGGGGGTCTTGATGTCCTGGTAAACAACGCTGGCATTGCTTTTAAGGTAAGTTCCACTTTTGCAGATATTATACATTCTAAACAGTCAAAAGTTGTTCTTTCATTGTTCATTCTTTCATTTCATTGTTTTCCCTTCCAGCATGCAGCAACAGATCCATTCAGTGTTCAGGCTGAAGTAACCTTAGCAACAAATTATTTTGCCTTGGTCGACACCTGCCGAGAACTGTTTCCCTTGTTGCGCCCCCATGCAAGAGTTGTGAATCTGTCCAGTTCCGCTGGCCATCTTCTGCGTATTCCTGGAGAAGCAATTCGAAAGAAATTATTGAATCCTGCCCTCACTATTGACGAGCTGTCAAATTTGATGCAAAGCTTTGTACAGTAAGTTTAATCTCTGATATTTTTTTGTCAAGCATGTTTTATTCCTGTCTGTGTTAAAATTACAATGTTCTATTTATTTTTCAAAGGGCTGCAAAGGATGGCAACCATGAATCACTTGGTTGGGGAAACGGTGCCTATGTCGTGTCCAAAGTTGGTGTGAGCAAACTGTCATTCATCCAGCAGGCTGAATTTGACAAAAATGGCCCTGAGGACGTTGTTGTGAATGCTGTCCATCCTGGATATGTTGACACTGATATGACAAGTCACCAAGGACCACTGACAATTGCTGAAGGTATGATGAAGTGCTGTCCCATCTCTTATTTTAAATTTTTGCTCGTGTCTTGGTTGTTTTTCATTTGGTACCATTTTAATTTAAAGGTTCTGCTGCTGCTGTCTATCTTTCTCTGCTGCCTCCCAATGTGAAGGAGCCCCGTGGAGCCTATGTTTGGCATGATAAGAGGATCGTTGCCTGGGATCAACCAACACCAGCTGCAGTTTAGTGCTGACGCTCGTTTGTGAGTCATAATTTCCTTTGTCCTTGACTAACAATTCTCCAATCTGAACATAACCATCACCGGCAGCAATTTGTTGCTGACTGTGTTGTGTGAGTTGCGTCACTCTGTGCACTAATTCGTACTAGGTTTTGTTTATGTGGCATGGTTTGAGAATTCAAGGGTGAAAGAAACAACGTTTTATGGAATAAATGGATGAACAACATTCAATATTCTTTAATAATACCTTGAAAAATTCGCTCTTATACTTACACTTTGTATTCTTGCTAATAATGCTATCAAAATATATTTGAAAATAGTTGAGCAAAAGATCCCATTAGGAGTTACGTCAGCCATGGGATGTCACAAGCATTTATGAATGCATTAAATGTGCACTCATCATTTTTACAGTTATAAATCATTTTAAAACAAAAACTCAAAGACACATTCAGATAACACGTCGTTCAACACAAAAATGTTCATCTTACAAAAATTATGAAGTGATCTAAGATTATAAAATAGGTAGATTGCTAATAAATCCACTTCTTGCAATCTTTCAAAATGTATCACAGTTCTTCACTTTAGATGTATGGCTATAACTGCTCAAAACGCTAAAGCAAAAACATTACATACTATTAGTAAAATTATCCATGGCAGAAAATAATAATTTTCCTTATGAAATTTTCTTAAAAGAACTAATGGTTCTTTGTGGTTCTTTACAAACAGTTCTAGTCTAGTCTAATAGTCTATCACATAAGAGATGATTATGAAAGAATGTGGCAAATAAGCTATCACATTCACACATCACTAGCATTCAGAGAAAAACATAAGTAAATAGTACAGTAGTTATAAGACAGAAACGTAGGGTATGTTGTATGCTCTAGTATATAATGAAAACCAACAAACACCTTGGCAAATTTATCTCAAGTAATTGCTTTTGCAAATGTAAGATCAGGCTTCATCATCACTAATTTGAACTTTATGAGAATAAGAAACTAAAGTTTGAAATCAATAAAAATTGTCCTCATGGCATTGCATCAGTTTCTTCTTGTTTCAAATCACTGCACATTTAAACATTATATTGCATAGATTCAATGCTTCAATAAATAAATTTAATTCGCAGAGCTCACATTAAAAATCAGATGAGTTTGCTTAAATAAAACTTTACAATACCTTAAGATCAGACAAAAAGAAAAATAGCCACCATTCTTTTGCTTTTTCTTACCCTGCTTCACAGATTTTTGTCATGGAAAAATGGCTTAAATCAGTCTGTTTCACATATCTCTATTCACCAATTGGTCATCGCAAATTAATGTTTAAGTGTGTCTTAACCATCCTGGTAATAAAGGTGACAGCCGGGATTGGCTTTGTGGTCGACAGACGAATTCGAAGCACAACGTAGGACAGTAGTCGGAAAAGCAAGAATGATGACACAAGAGCCACAACATCCACCCAGTAGACACAGTGCTCCATCCCCATCTGAAACAGTCAGTAAAAATGAATTGTGTGAGTTGATGGTGACAAACTCAGAGGTAAACATAGTTTCAAGAAAATCTCACCTCTCTGAGCAGTTGCCGGGGATCCTGAAGCTGACAATACACTTCTGTGTCAGGACAAATAAGAGGTGCTCTGTTGTCACCATAGATGGACACTACAATACCCTCCAAACCATATCTTAGGTATGACAATGACATTGCCAAGCGGTAGTGTAAAGGAATTGCATTTTCATCTGAACCGTTACCCATTCCATAGACAGCAAGAAGCATGAATGGGACAGAAAATGCTGGCCCCACAAACATGCTGTTCTGTAAAAGTAATAAAATATGAATATTAGCTTTCAAGGAAGTACAATAGCGAAACATTTGTATTTACAGAACTGTAACTTACGACAATATTTAGGGCAGAACCAATGATTAGTCCAAAGCTCTCAGATACAATGGAGACAAGAAGGCAAATGACGCAGAACTTGATACAGCGCATTGGCTCAAGAGGCTGGTCTGTGATGGGGTAGACCAGTGCTATGTACAAGAGCCCTAGAATGAGCTGAAATGCAAAAATGCTGATACAGTGGACATTGTACATAAATTAAAAAAATGACCTTAAATGTATGTTGATAAAATTTACCTGTGTGGGTAGTCTTGCAACTGTCATGGCGCAAAAGTAGGCATTCAGGCTGTACCATCTATTGAAGTACTCCCGCTTAAGAAGTTGAACCTCCTCAGGAACTGGGAAGAAACAGAAACATGATACACAATTCTAACTCGACACTAAGAAATCACATAGCAAAGAATACTAAATGCTAGTTTGAAAAGCAAATTAAATGAAGATACTGACAAGGCATAAAGTATACTTACATCTTAAGAGAACTGGCAGCATGGGAATGTACATGAATACAATAATGCATGTAAAACAAAATCCAAAGTTAAAAATGGTTTTTGATCCGTCATTTCCCATTTGGTAAAACAGCATTCCACATATTAGCGCCACAAAGAAGTGCATTGATGTAACCAGTAGTAGGTAGCCCTGAAACAATCAATAGAAAAAGTGTTAGGAAGTCATGTAGGTTTTATAACGAGAAACATAATTTGCCAATCTAAGAACTCAGTACTTACAGAATCTCGCCAAATTTGCAGTAGCATTCGGTACATTAAAATTCTGAACTGCAAGAAACTTGAACTGCTGAAATCGTAATTTTCACTGGGAGTTGTATTTACTATGTCTGTCCTGGAACCTATCAATGACAAAGGAAAAGTACAACAATGAGTGTTGTGTGATGATTTTAGGCGAAAACCTTATCGCTGACTGGGCAACTCACTTTGATGTTGGAGGGTCCGCGGGTCTTTGCACCACCGGTAGCACCGCCCGTTGTCCACCGCGGCGGACATTCTCTCCGTGTGGTTGCCGTACTCGCCGCTGGCCGCCTCCACCACTGCAAAATTAAAAACGACATGAAAGGATGAATTAAAAATTCATACCAAAACTCGCAAAAATGGTAAAAAATGGGTTTGTGGCGTACTGAAGTCGGCCGGGTTGTAGGTGGTGGGGCAGTGCAGGTTGAGCGAGGCGAGGAAGGGCACGATGTCCCGGCCCTTGCCCTGGAAGACGCACTGGCCCTCGCTCACGATGTACACGTGGTCGAACATGTCGAACAGCTTGGCGGACGGCGTGTGCACGCTGCAGATGACGGTGCGCCCGCCGCGGGCCAGCATCTTGAGCAGCTGGATGCACTGCGAGGAGGACAGGTCGTCCAGGCCCGTGGTGGGCTCGTCCAGGAAGATGACGGGCGGGTTGTTGACCAGCTCCTGCGCGATGGACAGCCGCTTGCGCTCGCCGCCCGACAGGCGCGACGTGAGCGTGTTGCGGGCCTTGGTGAGCCGCAGCATGTCCAGGATCTCCTCGATCTGCAACGGCCGCCGCACCGTTAGAGTGGAACCAAGTGGAACCAGCGCACAGTAGGCCTTAAGACCGATGAAGGCGGTCAAAATCCCGAACGCGTTTTGAGCTCTAGAGTCGCAAAATGGGACTCGAACCGAACGTGTGACCTCACCAATGGATTCCTCGTTCGGAGAGGAATCCATTGATGGGGTCACACGTTCGGTTCGAATTCCATCTATCGACTCTGGAGCTCAAAAAGCGTCTAGACTTTTGGCCGCCTCCACCGGTCCTCTGGCCCACTGTGTGGCGCCCGGAAGGCAGGCAGGCCGCTCGACCGCAGCGCCGCGAGCGCCTACACCATAGGCAACCCATCCGACACCGCCGGGTCGGCGTGTGGCGGCGTGTGGCGGCATGGTGGCGGTGACGGTGGCTCGGCTCGGTGGCGTGGCGTTTGACCCGGCGAAAGAGGGTCGCGCGGCGGTCGTGCCGCGTCGCGCCGCGTCACCAGAGCCAACCAGAGGCAGCCAGAGGCAGCCAGAGGCAGCCAGAGCCTTGCACTTACCGCGGTGCGCTTCTGCGCCCGGCTCAGCGTGTTGCCCAGCTTGAGGTCGGCGGCGATGGTCATGGACTCGAGCACCGTGATGTGCTGCTGCAGCAGGTCCTCCTGCATGATGTAGCGCGACAACTTGCGGAACACGTCGTTGTCGCGCGGCCGGCCGTTGATGTTGATGGTGCCCGTCGCGTCACCCGTCCTGGACAGAGAGAGAACGTTAGAGAGAGAGCCGCACTGCACAGTGGGCTAGAAGACCGCGTGAAGGCGGCCAAAACTCTACACTCGTATTGAGCTCCCGAGTCGCGAAATGGGACTAGAACCGAAAGTGTGACCCCACCAATAATGGACTGCTCTCTTTGTATCCATTGGTGGGGGGTCACACGTTCGATTCGAGTCCTGTTTTGCTACTCTGGAGCTCAAAACACGTCTAGAGTTTTGGCCGCCTCCACCGGTCTTCTGGCAAATCCACTGTGCACTGGGCGGCCGGCGTAACTGGTGGGGCAGGACGTACTTGTAGCCGGCCAGGACGTTGAGCAGGGTGGACTTCCCCGCCCCGGAAGGCCCCAGGATGGCGGTGAGCTCGCCCGACCGGAAGAGCCCCGACACGCTGCGCAGGATCATCTTGGAGCCTGCGGCAAAAACAGAAAATAGGGCAACGTTTATTCAGCAGCCGGGCCGAGCGAAAAAGAGAAAGGACTTTCAGTGTACACACATGTGTGTGCAGCAAGCAAAGTATTTTTCTTTAGGAATCTTTTGCTATTCCATTTTATGACCGAAAAAAGGTGAGTGTTGAGTGGAGGCGGCAATCGAAGCTCGACAGTCGATACAATCGAAAGGACGCACCTTGCGGGCACTTCCTTGTGCATCGACTCGCCGTGAGTCACGTCTGCGCGTGCGGGGGCGTGCGGGGGCGCGTGGGTGGTGGAGGGGGAGTGTGTCAAAGTCGAATCGAGTGGCCGGCCGCCCTCATGAGCGCATGGCCGCGTGGCGATAACGGCCTGGCTGGGACCGACCGGGACCGACCGGCCCGGGACGGGAATCGCCAGTCTACAACTTTTTTGTTTTTGTTCCTCCGTCTGGCGCGGCTGGCGCGGGCCGCGGGCCGGGCCGTCTGCTCCGCGTCGCACAGTGGGCCAGAAGACCGGTGGAGGCGACCAAAACTCTAGACGCGATTTGAGCTCCAGAGTCGCTAAATCAGGCTAGAACCGAACGTGTGACCCCACCAATGGATTGCTCTCCGAACGAGGAATCCGTTGGTGGGGTCACACTTTCGGTTCGAGTCCTGTTTAGCGACTCTGGAGCTAAAATCGCGTCTAGAGTTTTGGCCTCCTCCACCGGTCTTCTGGCCCACTGTGGGCCGGCCGGGCTAAAGTGGATCACACAAGGCGAGGGCCGAAGTAGCGCGCGGCATGCCGGCATGGGTCGTCCGTAATAAGGGATTTGGTTTACGTCACGGCACTGCGGGTTGGGGTTGCGGTGAGGCACCTTAGGGCACGCCTGGCCTGCCTGGCCTGCCTTGCCGCGGCGCCGCCCCGCCCCGGGTTTCTCTATTCCATTAAGCCCCGCGCAGCCTCGCGCCTCGACACTCCTAGGCTCGCGCACCGCGCAGCGCAAGTTTCTCATGAGGCGGTGCGCCGGGCTGCGCCGGGCGGGACTGGCCTAGCCAGACTCGCTACACTCTCCGGACTCAGGCGCCCTGGCCGGGCTGCGCTGGGCTGCGCTGGGCTGCGCGCTCCGCCCGGGCTTTCAATTGGCCGCCAGGGCTTGCGCAACGCAGCAGGAAGCGACTAAAGCAAAGTGCCAAGTATTGAGCAAAGTTCATGGAGTACCAAGCGCCGCGAGCGAAGTGCCAAGTGACTCATTGTAGGAAGGAAAGTGTCGGAAACCGAGTTCGTTCACAGCAGAGTACCAAAGTACCGAGGAAAGTTCCCGGCAACGCTCTTAGGGAAGTCCCATCCCCACGAACGCTGTCGAGGGCTCAGGTTAGAAGCAAAGCCCCAGCGAAAGACCAATGTAGACAAGATTGTCGAAGAGCGAAGCTCAAAGCTACCGACGTTGACACGGCCCCGCCCCGCCCCGCCCGTCGCGTCCCTGTCTGAGCCCCGGCTGAAACTACTTCCCCCACCAGGCGGCCCAGACCGCCCCATCTGCATCTGCCTGTTTTGGTTGACTCATCGCGTCGCGTCGCGGAGTGGATTTCATCTGTATCGTGGCTTGGGTTGCGATATCGTGAAGCAACGGCCGCGCCTCCGCGCGCCTTGTGCATATCGGTGGATCGAAAAGTCGCGCGTTATCGATCAGTCGATGGTGCCGCCAATTTGTGTCGCCAAACGAGGTCTGGGAATTCATTTTCGCGGCTCCGCGAAACCGCACTGACTTAGTGAACGGAATCTGCGTTTCGGCCGAGTGTCTAGCCCGGCCTGCACCCAGTGGAGGGAGATTTGAAGTCAAATGCCACCACGTTTTGGCTTCTGGGTGTCATTTTACCTGCCCGCGCTAGGTGGCGACCTGCTGCTTGGGCCTTCCCCCTCCCCTCCGCAGCGGCGCATAGCGCGGCTCGTGCGGGTGGTGGGCGAAGTGGAAAGCACCTCGGTCCAGACCGTCCCCGTCCAGACAGCAAAAGCGTGTTGCGGTCGGATGGTAAGCAGGCATAAGCCGCACGCGAGACGGAGACGGCTCGGGCCGACAGGCGCCCCGCCTTATCGAACACGCCCGGCGGCACAGCGACGACGCGGTCACATTGTGGTCACTTTGCGGTCACATTGTCATTCCGCGGCCCGGCACCGAGCGCGAGGAACGCGCCCCACAGTGGGCCAGAAGACCGGTGGAGTCGGCCAAAATTCTAGACGCGTTTTGAGGTCCTGAGCCGCTAAATGAGACTCGAACCGAACGTGTGACTCCACCTGTGGATTGCTCTTCGAACGAGGAACCCATTGGTGGGGTCACATATTCGGTTCAAGTCAAATTTAGCGACTCTGGAGCTCAAAACGCGTCCCGGATTTTGACCGCCTCCACCGGTCTTCTGGCCCACTGCGCGCCCAAGCGCTCCATTCTGAGGACATTTTTGCCCACTTGTGTGGCAACGCTGCCCCTATCATGGCGAAGGACGAAAACGGCCGTCTGGGAAGTTAAGTTGGGAGTGGCCTGTGTTGTGGCACCCCTGCCTGGCGTGTCGCCGGGCCTAGGCCGGGCCTGAAGGCCTGAAGGCGGGCGAGGCGGGCCGGCCCGTCCAGGCAGTTCGCGCCAAAAGACCGGTCTCTAGTCTCGAGGCAGGACGTCTCCAGACGTCTCGCATCGCTGAAGCCGGCGGCAACCAGTAGGACACTACCGTGTCAGTCGGCTACTCGCGAAAATCCATCTGTCCCCGATTCGACTGCCACTCTTCCTTTTGGAATAGTTTGGGTTGCGCGCCTTTTCAGTCTCTGCTTGCGGGCTTGCTAACCTCGAAGAAACCCTTCGCGAAAATCATAGTACTACTTCTGCACACACTCTGGCTCCAAAAGAATCAAGTGCATACAAAATATTTAAAGAAAATATTCAAAAATAAGTTAAACTAAACATTTAAGAAAATTTTTGAAAAGTTTCCAAGAGAGTCGTAAAATGTCGAAAAACTAATCGCTTACTTCCCTCCTCTCTGAAACTTTCAAAGTGAAATCACGGCGGCGCGCTTTATGTCGTTATTGGCCCTCCCGGCAGTGCCCGGCGGTACGGCCGCTGCGCCAGTGTACGCGCGGTACGCCAGTCGCGAGACGCTGCCGGTGCCGGCCGGCCGGTGGTGCCATTAACTCGCAAATTCGGAGCTAAAAAAACGAATCGAGAGTCTCGGCGGAGATTTAGCGCCACGGCCTTGGCCCCTCGGCCCGCCCCGGCCGCCTCGCCCGCCCGGCCCGAGACGCCGCAATGATCCCCGAGGAGGAAGCGGAGCCGAGCGGAGTCGCCTCCGGCCGGCCGGCCGGCTGCCCATTGCCGCTTTTGCAGTGACTGACGCGCCGACCGCGCGAACACTGACCTGCCCTGCCCTGCCCTGCCCGGTCAAAGCCGGTTGGCCAGAGCGCCTGAAGGAATGCGCACGGGAAAATTCCATCTCTCGATCACGTGTGTGGGGGGCACTCGCACGCGTACGTGCACGTGGGTACGTTTGCGCGCCTGGAAAGGACTTTATAGTGCGCTAGAACAGTCGTGATGATGTTTTTTTCTGGCCGCCGGTCGTGGAATAAACCATCATCCGTCGAAACCGACGGGCCGACGAGTCGCTTGGCTTGGCGTACCGCAAGGCGCTAGGAACAGCCGAGTGCACAGTGGGCCAGACGACCCGTGGAGGCGGTCAAAATCCCGGACGCGTTTTGAGCTTTAAGGTCGCTAAATGGGGATCGAACCGAACGTGTGACCCCACCAATGGATTTCTCGTTCCGGCGAGGAATCCATTGGTGGGGTCACACGTTCGGTTCGAGTCCCATTAAGCGACTCTCGAGCCCGAAAAGCGTCCGGGATTTTGACCACCTCCACGGGTCGTCTGGCCCACTGTGTACGCCGTTGTCCTCGACGATTGAGTGAGCGATTCAGGACGCTAATTGCGCTGATTCGCGCTGACTCTCTCGCACCCCTGCGGCCCTGCGGCGCGGCCCGCGAGTGCAAGAGAGACAACGCGATATGCGCGGCATGCGCAGTGCAGTGCAGCCTGACCCACTTGTTGGACGGCCGAGATATCGCGGCCAAAAAATTGGAGCACCGATACGACGCTTTTTTGTTTTTATTTTTATTTTTTTGCGGACTGTACTACTTGGCGACATTGCCAGGCATCGCCGCTAGCGGCATCGGCACGCGCTGCAAATTCGGATCGGAACGCTTTTGGGCAGAGCGAGCCAACTTGACGGAGAAAAATAAGCAAAAATTGACCTGTTGATCTTTTGTCAACGGCGAGAATTGCGAGCGTCGAATCGAAATGTGACTGGGGCCTGTCGGGCCGCCGTCCCGCTGGAACTAGCCATCACTGCCAGAGTGACTTTCACATTCGCCGCTGAATGCGAACGTGAATGTGCAGGTCGCTTTGCAGAGGAAGTAGGCCAGGCGGTTCTTCAGCGGGCATAAGACGGCCGAAGACCCTTACACTGCCGCGGCCTAGCCCTTCGCTTTGTTTCGGCCTCGAGTGCCACAAACCCAAACCCGAGCATGTGGCACAGGGCCCGGCCCGGTTTCTGCCGAACCCCGGCGGGTTTGCAAAGCAGGCACACTTCGCCGTCGCCTGGCAAGCCGTCGACTTGACCTTTTTGGCAGTGTGTCGAATTCAATCGAACCAGGACTGACGTTACATTCAAGATTCACGAAGTTGAGTAAAAGCTTCAATAACTGTCCTTGCTCCGGGGGTGGGGGGAGCCTCGGCTGCTGGCTGATTCTGCAAAGAGTTCGGCCGCTCTGCCTCTCTCGCACCCTTACGGGACACCGCGTGAGTGCGAGAGAGACAGAGAGAGCGCGCTGACCGATAACCCCGACGGGCGGAACTCGAGTTGACGATGAACGGTCACTGGCACCGCCGCCTGCACTGTATTTTTCAAGTTTGACGCGATCGTTCGGAGCGTTCCGAACGCTGGTACTGGTGTGATGTCGCCAGAAAAGTAGGCAAAAAGGACGC